CAATTTTTCTAATATCTTTTTGTGATATCGATCCAAAAAAGTTTGATTCGGGTTTCGGGTTCTTAATCCGTACCCGAACCCGACCCGAACCCGAAATTTTGACATGACATTTTTCGGACCCGAACCCGAACCCGAAAGTTTCGGGTTCTTAAATTTCGTATCCGAAGAAGAACCCGAACCCGAACCCGAACCCGAAACCCGAAGTAAGGACCCGAACCCGTGAGAAACACTATCCTCAGCCGATGCCCACCGTCTACGGCTAGTGTCGGCGGGAATTTTAACTCTACCGCGGCACACGTTGCAGTTTAATCCTATCAAAAAATATATTTAAATTTTAATTACGAATTGCATCTGAAGAAGCTTATTGTTGGGTTTATTTCGGAAATTGTTCAAAACTCGGATGCAATGGAACGTAGCATTATGCAGATTACAAATTGTTTTCATTTTTTGTGACATGACCTTTTTTTCTGCGTTTCGGCCGAAGTTCGGGTCCATTGCAAAGGTCCGTGCGGCACGTGCATGCGTTATCGTCGCAAGAATTGTCTGGCCAATAGACATAGACATCATCTCGAGGTTCCGTACACCCTCGGCCTTTTACCCGGTCCACGAAACAAGAAGAATCTATGGGAAAGATTTTCAGAATCTTGAAAATTTGGTTAGCTTAGGAAGGACTTTTTCATTCAATGCCAGATTGTGATGCCCTTTGGATATGCAGATGCACGATTAGTAAGTATAATCATACAGAAAATTTGCTTTTTTTTCAAATTATTAATTTGGACGAAATTCCAATTTTAATTGGGATTAATCTGGATTAATAATCCGTACTCACGATTATGGATTAATGACATCTAATGGGATTATTCCCGGATTGATTCTAATCCCAGAAAAGTCGGGATTGTGGATTGGATTAATCTAAAAAAATGCTCATTGCTGGATTAGGGATTGTGGATTAATAATCCATAATCAGGGATTAAAATCCATAATCCTTAATCAGGATTATCCCAGCTCTGCAAATTAAATCCGCAAATTTTGCACAGCAGTACTCAAGTGCCACACTATTGTTTTTTGTAGTACTCATTTTAAGAAGATCCGTGAGAAACATGAGTGGCGTGTGCATTGTAAAAGGGCATCAAAATCTGGCCTTGCAACGGTCATCCGTTCTCATCCTCCGAACTTCGGAGTCCGAAGTAAAAAAAAAATAAATATACCCCAGCGTGAACATGTGACCTTCTCCATCCATCGTAGTTCCCATGCAATCTGCAGACCCGTCACAAGTATTCGGTAAATCTTTGAATTTGCACTTGTAACATCTCAAACCTGTTTTGGAGGAAATTATGAAAATGTAAAAATTTATGAGAAGTATTTTAATTCGGATTAGTTTAAATTTTCTTCTGCAGAGGATTATTACCCTCGACGGGGGGATGCGGTCCAAAAGCAAGACCGTGATGGTGCTGGTGACCACGAGGAGGAAGAATTTGGCAGAGATTGACATCTTCTGAGAGGTGACGTGGTCCACTTCCGGTCAGCGTCAAGGTCACGGAATGGCTGGGTGGGTGACACTCGAGCAAAAAGATGTCAGTCATCCGAATGAGTACAAGTTTGAGATAGAAATTACACGAAATTGAGAGAATTTTTTTATGATTTGCATTTCAAACTGACGTTCCCGATTTTTTAAAAAGATATGATGTGGATGATTAGCAACAAATATTTTTTTCCCACGAGAAATTAAAAAAATTCAAAATGAATGCATGCCGAGTAATACAATACAAATTGCACCGTTCCTTCTTCACTAAAAAATTCTCCGTCACAAAGGTCACAAATAATTTAATTTTGCTTGTTTGAGTAGCAGTAATGAAATTAATTTATAAAATAAACCTAAATTTGTGTACCCTTTTCGTAAAAAAATCAAAAATCGTCAAACACGGACACCACATTAGCGACGCCCACCCGACGCCAAATCTGGTCGAACCCTTCACCTCGTTCGCCTTTCTGGGAATTAATTAATTAGGCAAAAAGTATATAACACGATTTATGCGAATTAACCCTCATAATTATGTGGACAATTAGGCGACATAAATAATTTATTGGTCACAATTTTGCTTGCTTAGGTGTCAGAAATAAAATTATATGTGCCCAAATTTTTGTACCATTTTCATAATAAAAAAATCATAAATCGATTAATCCCAATAAATGCCGCCTTGTACGCCCGCAAAGTAGCGTCGTCCCACCACGTGACAGATCATCCCCACGAACGCGGTAACTCCAAATCTGATTTTCGAACCCTTCACCTCATTCGCCTTACTTCTGTGCACCACTTTTACCAATTCGTCCGTGTCTGTCTCATTTTTTTTGTCCTACGGCCTGACCCCCCGAAGTAGGGGACCATTGCACAAATCCGCGTCATCGCAATTGCACCCGACATCGTTACATTGACCAACCAAGTGTGGTAAATCGTCCAAGTAAAATGCTGTGCTGTCTGCACTATCACATCCGCCACCAAATTTCTTGTGAAGATAACAAAACGGATCTAAATCAAGCCATAAAATAAAGCTCTACATAATTTTTGAATTATTAATAAATTTGTTTTTTTTACTTCTCCACTCGTCCGGACATTTGGCTTGGTGCTTTTCATCTTGTTGAGCTTCTTCCGTGAAATTTGTACAGTTGCCGGAATACTTCTGTTTGTTAAAATATTCGTAAAGCGGTGTCCACCTCCAGTCCCTACCCTCGGGAGGAATTTCAGCGCGACCCGTGCAAACGTTGCATGTCAATCCTGTCAAAGTAATAGTCATCCAAATTTTATGGGGTGTCATATCGCAAAATATGGACGCCGCCGAAAAATCGCATTTCCTATCCGTACAGAATTGGGGCGCCGAAAAATCATTGCCCTCTAATTGCAGTACGCATAAATTTCGCATGGCTCGGCAGCAAATTAATTGAGCATATCAACATAACTTGTCAAGTTTTCGCAAAACCTTGCGAAATTTAGGTAGTAAATGGAAATTGTAAATTGTTCCCATTTAATTTATGTATGCGGGTGACCTTTGTTTCTGCGCCCTTTCGGGCGAAGTTCGGGTCCATTGCAAAAGTCCGTCTCGCACGTGCACGTCTGATCGTCGCAATGATTTCGTGGCCAACTGTCATCACGGATTTGACACCCCCTGCCTCGGACCCGGTCAACGAAACACTCCGTAACTAAAAGGATGGAACAAGAATTAATAAATTTCGGAGTTTTGAATTTGTTTGGCAAGGAAAACTAGTGATTCGCTTCTTGTGGGTTTGCGAAATGTGGGGTGTGTTCGAACCAAAATCATCACAATAAATCGGCTTCATCTCTGGTCCGTAGCAGTCTGCATCATTCCAGTTCCAAACCGGAGGTTTTTCGTATGTGCACTGGTAACATACTCCTATTTCGGAGGAAATCATGAAAATGCAAAATTTTACGGGGGGTCATTCTAAATTTTCTTATTGTAATTACGCTTCGGGGGGATTTCTGCAAGTAAGCCTGTGATGCCGCTGGTGACCACGAGGAGGAAGAATTTGGCAGAGATTGCCATCTTCTGAGAGGTCACGTGGTCCACTTCCGGTCAGCGTCGTGGTCACGGAATGGCTGGGTGGGAGATACTCGAGCAGGAAAAAGATCAGTCATGCTAGTGAGTACAAGTTTGTGATAAAACTTACACAAAAAACCTACAGTGCAGACTCCATATAGCCCGAGTCAGGGACATAGTCCCTGAATCAATAAGTCAGAGCCCACTTCTAATTTTTTTCCGACCGACATAATATCACCAACTTCCGTGTTGTGGATGGTTAAAAGTTTGTTAGATAGTTTCTACTATTTGGTACCAAATTTTTGAATTAGTTACAAATCATGTGCCTTGACCACCATGACCAGTGGGCTTCTTTAACATCATGAAGTTCTAAGCTGTATGCATGTACTATCAGTGGTTTTCACTTTTTCAGCCTCCATATCAAATTTCAGCTCAATATAACGATTTTGAAAAATCAGTATGGGTCACCCGATAGGGTCACTCTGGTTGCACTTTGCTCACTTTTAACTTCATATTCTTTAATTAGAAGCCATTAAGTATAATTGTGCCGGATTTCAACTTTTTAAAGCAATTTCTAAAAATCGGTATGGGTCACCCCATAGGGTCGCTCCTGATAACAATTTTACCAATATCATATCATATTCTTTCATTAAACCCCATAAGCAACCTCTCCACCAAATTTCAGTTCGATATGATGGTTTTTAAAAATCGGTATGGGTCACCCCATAGGGTCGCTCAAGATGAAAATTTTTCCAACTTGAAGTCATTTTTATCTAGTAGGAGCCATTAGCAACCTCTGTGCCAAAGTTCAGCTTTCTACGACAATTTTGAAATTTTGGTGCATAAATAAATTTATTTCACGAGAAATAAATAGTTTTCAAAATTGTTGTGGAAATTTGCAAGTAAAAATTGCGTCACTTCTTTTTCACGGAAACGTCCTACGAAATCTGACAAATGTTTTGTAAAACTTGGCCACAAAAAAATGTTTCACGTGAATTTGTGAAATGTGCTAAGGTTTAACGCCAAATGGTGATATTTTGGAAAAACTGTATTAATCTGCATGACGAAATTATTGGCGATTCATATTTTTTTTAGTTTAAAAAAATGTCAACAATTTAACAATTTACTCAAAATACTTTAACATTTTATTTACTCATCGTAAAAATAAATATTCAATAAAAAGCAATTTATTTCGGTGAAAAAGTGCTCGACTGAGATATTACCAAAATACACATTTTGTAAAATTACAAACGAAAATCTATTGCAAATCCACCCATATCAATGAGTAAATATATGTAAAATCATTTTACAAAATTTCCAAAGTTTTCAAAATGTTCAAAATTTAAGTAATTGACTAAAGTTGTTTGTGAACAACCCTTCCACCGAGCCGAGAGGCGAGAACGCTGGCCAACCGCCATTTCAGTCAGCAACTACCCTTGTTGAGTGATGCACGCTGCTCGTTTGCCTCCGACAATTAATTAATTATTTATCAATTAATTAATTATTTATCAATTAATTAACTTCAATTAACAAGCATTAAACTCATATTATTGTTGAGTAGACTGGTGACAATAAAGGTAATCGCTTCCGGTTGGAAACCCGGTCGTGGTGGTGGGCGAAATTTGTCGTCGTCGTTTTTGGAGCGGAAGAAGGACAGCCAGCAGGTAAGTTTATATTTAATTAAAGTTCAATTTTGAGGATGGGTTTTTATTTCTCCTCTATCGAGCAGAGGGAATAATTATATAATTGCGATAAATTAAGTAACGGCCATTCCCTAATTTTACAAAATTTCTAAAGTTTTCAAAATTGTAAAAGTAAATTACGTTTGAGAAAAGTTGTATTTCTTGTGAACAACCCTTCCACAGAGCACGCTGGCCAACCGCCATTTTGCTCATTCCTCTTGCTCAGTCAGCGAGTGATGCACGCTGCCCGTTTGCCTCCGACAATTAATTAATTAACTACTTAGTTTACTTCAATTAAAAAGAACAAAACTCATTTTATTGTTGAGTAGACAGGTCACGGTAAAAGTAACCGCTTCCGATTGGAACCTGGTCGTGGTGGTGGGTGAAATTTGTCGTTGTCGTTTTTCCCTCGGAAGGAGGACAGCCAGCAGGTAAATTTATCTTTGGTTTAAGTTAATTGCAGCAATTTTGAAGTTCAGGGAAGGATTGTTGTCTTCTATACTGAATTGAAGGAATAATTGTGTAATTGTAACAATTAAATTAACGGTCATTCCCTTTCTAGGTTTGCAACTAATTCAAAACCATGTCGGAAGTATCAGACTTGCGAATCCCTCTCCGGACCGTGAAAAAAGTCCAATTTGGCATCCTGTCGCCGGATGAAATCGTAAGTTATTAATTTTACAGTGATGATGACTAAGATTTAGCCAAAATCGTATTTCATTCCGACTTAAAAATAATAATAACACAAGATTCTAACAGTTGTTTTTACACAATTAATTTATTTCGCCAGTTTCTGTAATAATTAATAACAATAATACTTAACTAACTAACCTGCTTCTTTTTTATCTGTCATTTCCAGCGCCGCATGTCCGTGACGGAGGGTGGGATTCGCTTTACCGAGATTACGGAAGGTGGTCGCCCCAAACTTTGCGGATTGATGGACCCTCGTCAAGGCGTCATCGACCGAAACTCACGCTGTCTAACGTGCACCGGCACTCAGACCGAGTGTCCCGGACATTTTGGTCACATTGATCTCGCCAAACCCGTCTACCACCCAGGATTTCTCGGGAAAACGGTCAAAGTCCTGCGCTGCGTGTGCTTCTATTGTTCGAAGATGCTCGTGTCCCCCACTCACCCGAAAATGAGGGAGGTCGTCGCCAAGACCAAAGGACAGCCTCGACGTCGCATCGACTTTGTGTATGAGCTTTGTAAGAAGAAGTCCATTTGCGACGGAGGTGACGAAATGGATGGGAATCAGGGCGAAGAAGATCCCAATATTACGGTCAGTCCGGTATTAATTGGAAAATAATTAAGCGTGATGATAAATACTGTAAATAATTACTTGCATGTTATTATTTATTATGGTGATTCTCGAAAATTCTTAATATACATACGGGTGACGGGCACAACACTTGTAAAATCTTAAATTGTACATTTTTCAAGCTCAACGCGGTGTGATTTTGAATTAAAATCCATCACGTTCAATTATTTTTTAATCAATATCCAACTATAATATAAGGCACAACAATAAATACTAAAGTTAAATGTTAATTAAACTATTTTCATGTAATATGCAGTCAAAGAAGAGCGGTCACGGCGGGTGTGGTCGTTTTCAGCCGAACATCCGTAAAGTCGGGCTCGAGCTGTTTGCTGAGTGGAAGAACGTGAACGAGGCGGACCAGGAGAAGAAGATGGCCGTCACGGCGGAACGTGTCCTCGAAATCTTGAAACACATTTCTGACGAGGAGAGCCTTGTGATGGGGATGGATCCCAAGTGGTCCCGCCCCGACTGGATGATCTATTCTGTCCTTCCCGTCCCCCCACTGCCCGTTCGTCCTGCTGTCGTCACGTTCGGCTCGGCTCGCAATCAGGACGATCTCACCCACAAACTCGCGGACATTGTCAAGGTCAATTTAATGTAATTAATTAAAACTTTAAAAGCATTTGTTTATTTTACTTTATTTTCCTTTCCACCAGGCGAACAACGAACTTTTGCGCAACGACCAGTCCGGCGCCGCAGCTCACATTATTGCAGAAAATGTTAAAATGCTCCAATTTCATGTCGCTACACTCACCGATAACGAAATTCCTGGTTTGCCGCGCGCCATGCAGACGTCGGGCCGTCCATTGAAAGCGATCAAGGCGCGGTTGAAGGGAAAGGAGGGCAGAATTCGGGGCAACTTGATGGGAAAACGGGTCGATTTCTCTGCAAGAACGGTCATCACACCAGATCCGAACTTGAGGATTGATCAGGTCGGCGTGCCTCGCAGTATCGCGCAGAACTTGACATTTCCCGAGATCGTGACCCCGTTTAATATGGATAAGTACGTCGTAAAAACTAATGTCGTGACATTAATTGCCTATAAAATGAGTAGTTAATTTAATGAATGTATCATGATTTGGACAACTTACATTATCCTCTTTCTGATTTTTTTTACTCGTAACTTTCAATGCTATGCATCTACATCAGCTCGACTTGTTTGACCTGTAACCTTTGACCTTGCAGGATGACGGAACTCGTGGCGCGAGGGAATAACCAATATCCCGGAGCAAAGTACATCATCCGCTCGAACGGGGACAGAATTGATTTGCGATTTCATCCGAAATCTTCCGATCTCCATTTACAATTAGGATACCGGGTATTTTTTAAACTACCTGAATAATTATGTTAATTGATTGTGCAAATATTTGTGGGTTTGTCTCGTCCTCTAGGTCGAACGTCACATTCGAGATGGCGACCTCGTAATTTTCAATCGACAACCCACTCTTCACAAAATGTCCATGATGGGTCACAGGGTCAAAGTACTGCCCTGGTCGACTTTCCGAATGAATTTGAGGTGAGTGGTTGTAATTTAAAAAATTGATAGTACCAAATCATTGAAAATGATGCATTAATGTGGACCTCAGGCTGAGACAAATTTTGTCCATGATCACACAACTTTTTTTCTGATTACTTATTAAGAAATTGACAAAGTTATCTCTAACACGCTATCAATATTTATAATTAGTTCTTCTTGTTAATTTTTACATTTTAGTTGCACAACGCCTTACAATGCTGATTTTGACGGGGACGAGATGAATCTACACGTCCCACAGTCGATGGAAACTCGTGCCGAAGTTGAAAATCTACACATCACGACCCGTCAAATTATCACCCCTCAAGCGAACAAGCCCGTCATGGGGATCGTGCAGGACACGTTGACCGGCGCGAAGAAGATGACCAAGAGGGACGTCTTCCTGACCAAGGTGATGTCACATTTTTAAAAATAAAATGCAAATTATGCCGAGTTTTCGAAATTTTAAAAATGTAAATTAGGCCGGATTTTATAAATCTTAAAAATACAAATTAGCCCGGGTTTTAGAAATTAACTTGAATTTCATGCTCTCTTTTTCAGGAACAAATGATGAATTTGCTTATGTTTTTGCCCATTTGGGACGGGAGGATGCCGATGCCCGCCATCGTGAAGCCGATTCCTCTCTGGACCGGAAAACAACTCTTCACTCTTATCATTCCCGGAAATGTGAACCTCGTCAAAACCCACGCCACACATCCGGACGACGAGGACGACGGTCCGTACAAGTGGATTTCCCCGGGAGACACGAAAGTCATGGTGGAGCATGGTGAACTCATCATGGGAATTCTATGCAAAAAGACGCTCGGAACGAGTGAGGGGTCACTTCTTCACATCTGCTTTACCGAATTAGGTCACGAGGTTGCTGGCCAGTTTTACGGGAATATTCAAACCGTCGTAAACAATTGGTTGATGTATGAAGGTGAATAGTAATTAATTGTATTATGCAAATTGAATAGGTGGGGATAATTTTATTAAGAAAATATACGATTATTTAGGGCACTCGATCGGAATTGGGGACACGATTGCAGATCCTCAAACATATCTTGAGATTCAAAGAACAATCAAGAAGGCGAAGGAGGACGTGATCGAGGTGATTCAAAAAGCACACAACATGGAGCTCGAGCCTACTCCGGGAAACACGCTTCGACAAACGTTCGAAAATCAGGTCAACCGCATTCTCAACGATGCTCGTGACAAGACTGGCGGCTCTGCGAAGAAGTCTCTCACAGAGTACAACAACCTCAAAACTATGGTGGTGGCAGGGTCGAAAGGATCAAACATCAACATCTCTCAGGTATTTTTAAATAATAAATCCCTTTGCCAAGGATTGAATGTGGACTTTGACCTTTCTTTTCCTTCAAGGTCATCGCCTGCGTCGGGCAACAAAACGTTGAAGGAAAACGAATCCCCTTCGGCTTCCGTAAGCGCACCCTTCCCCACTTCATCAAAGACGACTACGGTCCTGAGTCCCGTGGCTTCGTTGAAAATTCCTACCTCGCCGGACTAACTCCCTCGGAATTCTACTTTCACGCCATGGGGGGTCGTGAAGGATTGGTCGACACCGCGATCAAAACGGCAGAAACTGGATACATTCAACGTCGTCTCATCAAAGCTATGGAGTCCGTGATGGTTGACTACGACGGCACGGTACGAAACTCTACTGGACAGCTGATCCAACTCCGCTACGGGGAAGACGGCCTCGCCGCCGAGAACGTCGAACACCAAACCCTTCCCACCGTAAAACTGTCCAACTCTGCGTTTGAAGAGCGATTCCGCTTCGACCCCACGAACGAGCGCTACCTCCGAAAAGTTTTTGACGAAGAAGTCATGCGGGAAATTGTCGGGTCGGCGGAAGTTCTCTCCGCCGTGGAGAAGGAATGGAAAACTTTGAAGGCTGACCGTGCCACGATGCGGGAAATCTTCCCTTCTGGAGAATCGCATGTCGTCCTCCCTTGCAATTTGAAACGGATGATTTGGAACGTGCAAAAAATTTTCCACATCGACAAACGACTCCCCGTCGATCTCAACCCGATCAGAGTGATTGAAGGGGTGGAAAACCTATTGAAAAAGTGTGTCATCGTGCAAGGCGAGGATGCTCTTTCGGTCCAGGCGAACAGCAATGCGACCCTGCTTTTCTGCTGTATGGTGAGATCGATGCTGTGCACGAGGAAGGTCGCGGAAGAATTCCACTTGTCGACGGAGGCGTTTGAATGGTTGATTGGTGAGATTGAGACGAGGTTTCAGCAAGCCATGGCGTCTCCAGGGGAGATGGTGGGAGCCTTGGCGGCGCAGAGTTTGGGCGAACCGGCGACTCAAATGACGCTGAATACTTTTCACTTTGCGGGAGTTAGTAGTAAAAATGTGACTTTGGGAGTGCCCAGGTTGAAGGTGAGTGGAAATTTTCTATAGTTTGGCAATGTTTCTAAAATTGTGCAGTGTTTTTTAAAACATGTAATTTTTGGGAAAGTTTTTGAAGCATTTTTCAGTTTTAAACATGATTTGCGACATTTCAAAAGTTTAGGAATTGAAATTTATCCAAAAATTCACAATACAAGATACAATTTTAACTTAGGAAATTTTTGCCGACATTTTCTTTTAATTCCTCAATTTTCTCTCATTTCCAGGAAATCATCAACCTCTCGAAGAAGCCGAAATCTCCCTCACTCACTGTTTTCTTGACTGGAGGCGCAGCTCGTGACGCCGAGAAGGCGAAAAAAGTTCTCTGCCGCTTGGAACATACCACGCTGCGAAAGATGACCGCGCACACGGCCATCCATTACGACCCTGACCCACAAAACACGATCATCGCAGAGGATCAAGACTTTGTTAGTATCTACTATGAAATGCCAGACTTTAACCCGGCAAGAATTTCACCGTGGCTTCTCCGCGTTGAACTGGACCGGAAACGAATGACTGGTAAATTCGCAATTCAAAAATTTGTTGACAATTGAAGTGGTCCAAGTCAGAGTTGTAAAAAAATTAGTGTAATCTGAGAATTTCTTGACGTAGTTAGTTAAATTTCGCGCCTTTTTGTAAGATTTTAAATTGATTTTGACTTAAAATGATGAATTTATGCTAAGTTTAAATTTGTCGAGATTTTCCCAAATTTTATCAAATTTTCGTAATAATTTGATTTTCTGTCTTCCCCTCCAGATAAGAAACTCACCATGGAACAGATCGCAGAGAAGATCAATTCCGCCTTTGGTGAGGACTTGAACTGCATCTTTAACGACGACAATGCTGAAAAGCTCATTCTGCGCATTCGAATCACACATCCGGAGGATAAATTAGATGATGACGACGAAAACCCTGATCAAATGGACGACTCCATGTTCCTTCGCTGCATCGAATCCAGCATGCTCTCAGAAATGACACTGCAGGGGATCGAAACAATTGCCAAAGTTTACATGCATTTGCCCCAAACCGACGCCAAGAAACGGACCATCATCACAGACTCCGGTGAATTCAAACAGATCGCCGAGTGGCTGCTCGAGACGGATGGAACGTCCTTAATGCGAGTCTTAAGCGAGAGGGATGTCGACCACGTGCGAACGTATTCGAACGATATCTGCGAAATATTTATGGTAATAGATGCAAAATTTTGGCGACATAGCATTAGCATTTTTATTCTAATTTGTATCGTTTTGTTCAGGTCCTGGGTATTGAAGCAGTTCGAAAATGTGTGGAGAAAGAGATGAACACCGTGCTTTCGTTTTACGGGCTGTACGTCAACTACCGTCACTTGGCGCTGCTCTGCGACGTAATGACTGCCAAGGGTCACTTGATGGCCATCACACGTCACGGAATCAATCGACAAGATACCGGACCATTGATGAGGTGCTCGTTTGAGGAAACTGTTGACGTCCTGATGGACGCTGCCGTTCATGCTGAAGTTGATCCGATGAGGGGCGTTTCCGAAAACATTATGTTGGGTGAGGATCCCAGATTTAATTATGCAAATTATTAATGTAGGACTTGATGCGTTATCATCAAGATCAGAACATTTTAAATCATTTCTCGGCATTGGAAAATTTACAATTCTGGAAGACATTTTTTTAAATATAAATACACTCCAAGAGCTTGACAGTTTTTGACGGAGGACATCTCCAGTTTTAGAAGCACTCAGAAAAATTGGAACTCATCGAAACTGGCTTATCTTAATTTTAAAAACTCACCGTCGATCTATTTATCTACTTACTGACTACAAATTTGTCGTCAAAAATTTTAAAGTAATTCCCCCAGGGCCGAAAAATGATTTAATTTACAAATTAACAGCGAACCATTTAAAATGATGACTTGATATGCCTATTATGAGGCAAATTTTGTCTATGAATTGCATAACTAACTGATTGCTTGTCAAGAAACTACGAAAGCTATCTCTAACATGCTATCAAGATTTATAATTAGTTTTTCCGATTAAGTCCAGAATTTGAAAATAAATTCTCAGAGCCGAGAAATGATTAAAAATGTGTTGATTTTGATTATATTGGCGATTAGTCGTACGTTGACAAAATCATGATAATATTGATAATGTTGTTTTACTAATTTTCCCCAGGACAACTTCCCCGCATGGGCACTGGCTGCTTCGACTTGCTTCTCGACGCTGAAAAGTGCAAGTTCGGCATTGAGGTCCCCACTGGTCCTGGACCCAATGGTGACCTTGGAATGGGCAGTGCATTTTTCAACCTTGGATCCAAATCACCAATGGACACGCCCTGGATATCTGGCGCCACTCCGGCGTACGACAACGTTTGGTCTCCCGGCGGAGGAATGATGTCAGGTGGGCCTGGATTCTCGCCATCTGCTGCTTCTGACATATCCAGCTTTTCACCTGGAGGAGGTCGTTCGCCGCTCAGTTCACCTGGAAGCCCAGGCAGTCCATTCTACATTCCTGGTGGAGTGTCGCCGAATTATTCGCCCACATCGCCTGGGATGAGTCCCTCGTTGCCGAACTATTCTCCTGGATCTTATTCTCCTACAAGTCCGAGTGGAGGTCAGAGTCCGACTTATTCTCCAACGAGTCCGAGCTATTCGCCACAACTGAGTCCATCGTACTCGCCGACGAGCCCAAGCTACTCACTGACGAGCCCAACCTATTCGCCGACGAGGTACTAACGACTAAAGTTTTGGAATGAAAATTTGCAGCATTTTTATGCCAATTTATTTATTTATTCTAGTCCGAGCTACTCGCCTTCAAGCCCAAGCTATTCGCCAACGAGGTGAGAGAAATAATGTGCAGATTAAATAAAATCTTTGTAAATTGGTCCTGCTTTTAATTAATTGTTTGCATTTTTTGCAGTCCATCTTACTCGCCGACGAGCCCATCTTACTCGCCAACAAGTCCGAGCTATTCACCGACCAGGTGAAAAAAATAAACTTGAATTATATTGTGTTTTTTGAAATTGAAACTGAAATTGTGACATTTTTTTTGCAGTCCGTCGTATTCTCCGACGAGTCCATCATACTCACCTACGAGCCCGTCTTATTCGCCGACGAGGTATTAATCTTAATGTGTTTTTAACGCAGGACATGACTCATCGTCAAAATCAGCACATTTTTAATCATTCCTCTGCTCTGGGAATTGTTATAAAAATTCTGAATGACAAATTTCTAGAGCAAGTCGTTCTCAATTTAAATAAAATTTACCCTCCAGATTTTGATAATTTTTGAAAAAGGAGATCTCAAGTTTGAGAAGCCTCTAGAAAAATTAGAACTCGTCGAAATAGGCTTAAAAATTCATCTCCATTCTATTCAACTTACTGACTACAAATTTGTCGTCCAGAATTTTAAAATATATTCCCAGAACCGAGAAATGTCATCTAGTCTTATGTTAAGGATAATTAATAATTTAATTACTTAATTAATTCTTTCTCTGTCAGCCCAAGTTATTCACCGACGAGTCCATCTTATTCGCCGACAAGCCCATCTTACTCGCCGGCAAGTCCGAGCTATTCGCCTACCAGTCCATCATACTCTCCCACGAGGTAGGAACTCAATTATAATAATTAATTAGGAAATTTTTAATTAACTAATCTCATTGCAGTCCAAGTTATTCGCCAACCAGCCCATCGTACTCTCCGACAAGTCCATCCTACTCTCCGACGAGTCCATCTTACTCGCCATCGAGCCCAACCTATTCTCCTTCGTCGCCGAATTACAGTCCTTCGAGGTTCGTGACCTGAAAAATGCAATGTAGATTGTCATAACTAGTAAAATTATCAAATGCTTATTTCTTGCAGCCCGAGGTACTCTCCAAACAGTCCGACTAACTCGCTCGGACGGCCCGGATCGCCCAATTACAGCCCTTCGAGGTAATAAAAGTGTGGTCATCATCTTGGATTTTTTTGTCTCAAAAATATTAGCAAACTTTTTGCCAGTACAGATAATTCAAATATGTTTTCTCTTGCAGCCCAAGTTATAGTCCAGCGTCGCCAAGTTATTCATCCCGGTATTCACCTAGGTTTGTAAAAACATTGGGTGTATTCATTGCGAGTTCGCATCGCTACATAATTTTGAAAAAAATTGCTAACTAAATGGAGATGCGCAAGTTCGTAGATGAGCTAAAAAAAATTGCAAACTTTTTGTGAACTCGTAATGAATACCCTGCAAAAATTAAATTCTCTTCAAAACCTCCAATCTAACCTTGTCCTCGTTTTTACGCAGCTCACCATCCAGTCCGACCTACAGCCCACAGCCGTCTGTCTCGTCTTACTCGCCAACGAGTCCGAGTTACAGGTGACCTAAATGACCTTAATTTACTGTCAATTTTTAACTATAGGTAGAATACCTGGCTAATTGTGAGTATTTATTGTTTCAGTCCTGCGAGCCCCACGTATTCGCCCAGTTCGCCTACCTACTCTCCCGATGAGGACGAGAACAAGAAACCGGGAGGCAAGAAGGGCAGGAAAAATAAATAGACGGGAAATCACCATCGTCGTCATCAACCCAATTTTCGTCGTCACCTTATTTTTGACAAAATGTCACCATTTCTATTATTAATCACTCTTTTGCAAACTCCTCATTTGTTCCTTATTCATCAACTTATTCTAATTCAATTCGTTTGTACGATTAATTTTTATATCTGAAAAGTAATTGGTTCAAACACCTTTGATTGTTTTTTTAGGGGGTAATTTTTTTTAGATAGTTCGGTAATGGGTAAAAATTATTACTTCGTTATGTTTGATTATTACTTTGGGTGTTTTTTTAATAATACGAGCAAACAGAAGAACTTTCCAAGTTAATCTTTAATTAATTCTGGTGATGGTCAAATGTTGTTTTCATTAATTTTATGATACTGCAAAAATAAAATTTAATTCGGCACGTGATGGGCAAAAAAATACGATTTTTAATAATTTTACAAGGTTTTTGTTATACAAAACGGGGATAAAATAAAATGAACTTGGGTATCAAAATAATTATTTATTTATGACTCTTCATTTAATTAGTTAATTAATAATTAAACAACAAAATTCCGAAAATTATTTTATTTTTATTTTTGGAAAGATTGAATTTCTTTGTTTTTTTCATGACCAAATATCCGCCCAATATTACGTGAAATACTTGACACACGTGTCGCCCTTTAACTTTGAAATTAATTGAGTCGTCCAATTTCATGTTAAATTCAATTAAATTAAGTTTCGACATGCCATTTAAAAATGTTTTGTTATGATAAAAATAATTTGTTTTGCAAGGTTTGGGATTGCATTTGGTGCCGTATTTTGTACGATGTGACGCCGTATTGGATCAATTATTGACGTACAAAGGTGACATGCAAAGGATGGGCTGGATTATTTGTTCGTAATTTTATGCACGTACGCTTTTCAAACGTAATGAGGCAATTCACGCAGGCCTTTTGGTAACTTTGTAAAATTCGTAAATTCTGTAAACTTAGGTATAAACTTTTACAAATATTTCTGGGGAAAACTGGCTTATAATTTTAAAAAATTATTCAAGATTAGACCCTTTGTTAATTTTTTAAAGTATGAAAAATTATGTTCTCTTTTTTTACCATAAACTTAACGAATTTAGCAAAATTTAGGCAGTTCACGCTGTCCTTTTGGTAACTTTGTAAAGTTCGTAAATTCTGTAAACTTAAACGCAAAATTTTACCAAACTTTACAAATATTTCGAAGGAAAATTAGCTCCGAAATTTTTGTAAACCTACTCAGATCAAGGGCGTCTCTTTATTTTGTACAAGTTTGTACAATTATTTTACAAAACGCACGGATTTTACAAAGTTACAAACGACTACGTGAATTTGCCAAATAATTCATGAAAAATTGACAGGGTTTTACGCCAAAAAATAAAATTGAGTAAAATTCGACTATACAATCTATATAACTATAGGTACCCTGACGGCGGTTCGAAATTTTCACAATATTTTCGAACGTGTTTAAGTTCACTACGTTACAAACATCCGAGCGAATTGGTTTCTCGATGAAGCAAAATCCACCTTTTACATATTTAAAATTTGACAAAAAAACATAATCCCCATGCTTCGCATGGACACTAAAATTAACCACGCTACAGAAAACAGGTGCTAATTAATACTTTAATTAATACTTTAATTAACAATTTAAATTAATTATTTAATTATAATTTAGTTACTTAGTTAATTACCAAATCATATCGATAGTAAATTATTATTACGAAAATACTACTAACCAGCTATGTACCTACATACTCGTGTACATACATACTATCCCCGTACTTAGGCTTTGCACCTCATTTGCATAAATCTCAATAGCCCATTTTCGGCGATACGAGCTTTCCATGTTGAATAAACTCTATGGCTCTCGCGAATGCGTTAAAATATGCAAATGAGGTGCAAGGGCTGAGTGCGAGGATAGTATCTATGACCAAATCTGGTAATAAACAGGATACGCGTTTAGTTGACATTGATCTTTGTAAAAATTTAACAATACATTACACCAACAACGGAAATACCTCAAAAAAGTAACAATTCCCTGTTTTCTTTATTATCTCCACTATCACAAAACTTCAAATTGCAAACAATTTGCACGGGTACAAATTGAACAGAATTTGTTTCATCTTTTTCCGTAACGAAATCCAGACAATGCAAATGATGTCATTGCTGCAGAAAATTATATGAAATTGCATGTCAAACAATTAATATTATAAAATATTTGCATGGTGAAATTTTATGTCATGCAAATTGCAAATCCTGCTGACACGACAGAATATTTATTTTTCCTGGAAAAGTACAATGAAAAACAAGCTACTGATTTTAGATTAGAGATTTTACATCCCTATATTTAATTGCGTCGACAATTTTTACACGCATTTCGTAATTAGAAGGTTTACTGGGGTGAACGAAAATTTTGTGCGTGCGTGCGAATGCGAAGCATAGAAATTGCATTTTTTACATTTTTGAAAAAAATTTGTAGAATTGTATAACTTTTGGATTATCAATAAGCTGTTTGTAAAAATCTCTTAAAAATCATATCAAAATTTGGAAAGTTACAAAACCCGGCGTTATATTGCTATAATCTAATTTATATATAATCTAATTTTAATAAAATACAGATTTTATAAAAATTGGATTTCTTTGGAAAAAAATTATCAAATTTCCTCAATTATTTTATTTCGTAAAAAATTATCAGATTTCTTTTCACCATACAAATCCGAGTATGAAATTTTGCGCAAATTTATAAATTTCCAAAATACAAATTTTACTCTACTAAATTTACATACCTAAATTTACATATTTTATAAAACTTTATGAAATAACTACAAACAAAACTGCATCAATAAATTGATCAACTTTCTAAATTAATTTGGCAAACTTCTGATCTGAAAATTTAATTTAAATTAAACTCTATACACTTGAAAAAATGTATTTCGGCAGCAAATTTCACCTAATAATTTTATTGGGAGGATTTTACCTCGTGGAGAAAATTTATTGCCAGGATCCAGCAATTGCTCAGTTAAATACGAGAATTACGTCGGTTAATGCTACTGCAAGTAAGTGAATAGTATTCACTACGTGAATTCACATAGGCCTTGGCAAACTATTACAAAATTTCGAAAACAATTTCAAGGAAAATTAATTTTCGGAAACTTAATCATTGTCAGATCAAGGGAGTCTTTTTATTTTGTTAAAGTTCGTAAAATTATTTTACAAAATTTACAAAGTTATAAATGACTGAGTGAATTGCCTCAATGTGGGCAATTTTGTAGCGTTGCGAAATTTTGGCATAATAATAGGCGAATATTTTGTACACACTGATTTCACACAAATTTTGCACTGCAAAATAATATGCCATCCGTTGTTGTGAAATTTCATTTTTGTGAAATCTTACAAATTTAAGACTGTTGGTAAGTCTTGTAAATGCTGAATTTTTCTTGAATAGTAAAATTCTGCAATTCAGTCACGCATAACTTTGCAACTTTTTGAAATGAGGAATTTTTAATGTTTCTCAAATTCATAATTTAATAAACTTTTAGTATTTGTAGAATGATTGCTTACAAATTTTCTCGTCAATATTTCTCAAATTTGTCACCGTGATTAGTGAATTAGTGAAATTTAAATTTCTCTCGTTCCCAGCGTCCAAAAGATCAAAATTACTTACAACAATTTTCTTAAGATTTTCAAAATTTCTTAAATTCATCCAAAATCTGAAACTAATTTAAACTTCTCTCCTTAATTTCCCAGCGGCTAACAAGAATTCCATAACGAGTCTCCAAAGTCGCCTCACGAGCCTGGAAAATACGCAGTATAGCGACTACAACTATTTGAATGGAAGAATTAACGCGATAAATACGAACTTGACAACCGTCTACGGAATTTTGAACCAGCAAAATGCCGCCATTTCAGCCCTGTCGTTAGGATTGGATGACGTAAATTCAAAAATAACCGCGGCAAATGAGCTAATTGCCAAATTACAGGCGGCAAATCAAATCTGGATCAGTAATTGGCGCGTGGTTAACAAAACTTTTGCCGAGTTGAGGAAAAAATTGAAATTTGTGGTGCCTCGGGGAGCCATTAGGGTTGTGCAGGTTGGATAAGCAGGGTTTTTTGTGTAATTTAGTAATATAATTTTGTGTAATTTGGTAATGTATTTTTTTTGTAGTTTGGTAATCAAAATTAGATAAGGGTTCCTTTTTAAAGAATATAAAAATGCAAAATATTCACCATTATAAAAATGCTGAGGTTGGTTTCATGTATTAATTTATTTTCGGCTGTTTCATAGCTGTTTAAAATTTCACCATATTTTGTCGGTAAGGCAATTCAGGCCTTGGTAACTTTGTAAAATCATCCGTAAATTCTGTAAACTTACAAACTTTTTACAAAATTTTACAAATATTTCTGTGGAAAATTAGGCTCAAAATTTTTGTAAACTTGCTCAGATCAAGGGCGTCTTTTTATCTGGTAAAAGTTCGAAGAATTAATTTACAAAACACCAGATTTTACGTTTACGATTTTACGATTTTAAGTACCAATGACTGCGTGAATTGCTTCATTGTGTTAAAAAATGTGTCCAAAGATTTGCTTGACTTGTGTAAATATTTGTATCCACTTTAAGGTTTTAGTAATTTAAAAAATAAATTTTATTCTGTAACAATTAAAAATCGAATAAAATTACTAGGAAAATTATTATTAAAAAACCATTTCTTGTCCATGATTTGTCAAGTTTCCTAAACTTTGCACGATTTTTGCATAACTTTTTGTCGACTAAGGATGAGAGCTTTGTTCACAAATTATAATTCACCCAGCAAATTGTTTTAGTTTTCAAGATCATTTCACAAACTTCTTTGTAACATTGTTAAAATCAGAAAAATAACAAGTTCTCCTTCTGAACACACTTTTAGAAATCCAGAATTAAAATAATAATACCAAGCGGTATTCATACATATATGCCTCTACCAAAGTGGTATTGATAAGTAATACCGTGTAGTAATAGCTCGTATTAAAGTTTTACCATATCCATAGCAAATTTTTGTGGACCGGTATAACTTTAATAAATACCAGGCGGTAGTCACTTTTATACCGAGACATCAATACCTGATGAACTGTACCAGATTTTTAATAATGTAGACGTGCACATGTATCAATTTTTGTATTATTATTTAGCAAAACATCGCAGATTGTGATGTTTTAATGCCTTAGAACAAATAGGACAACATTATCATGATCTTATTAAATATTGATAATTCTGAACTATTATGAGCGTACTCACAATCAGTCTTATTTCGCATCCGAAATCATTTAGCAAACTGGCCAAGATCAAAAAATTTATCGCAAAATATTACTTCCAAAATCTCGCAAATCTACTAAAAATATACTTATTTTAATGTTGTTTCCATGGATTTCTGTAATTTTTTGCTTGTGATGGAGAGGATAAGTTTGAGAAATAATTATTACTAAAAAAATGTTCATTTGCTGAATAAATTTGCGAAAAAAATCCCATAACAACAACTTTGCAAAATCACGCCAATTTTCCAAAACTTCGGAAGTTAACTTCGGAACAAAACTTCGGAAGATAGAAACATAGGATCTATTTTCTTGTTTGGATAGATATGTACTTTACACCTTTTTTATTTATTGGCGTACAAATTAATCACGTCCCGAAAATCGTAAACTTCCCACAAGTTTACAAGTTTATGGAAAGATTTATATTTACCTACTTACTATTTCGTTTGATTGTTACTATTTTGTTTCAAATATTTCACAACAATTTCTTTGTTATTTATTTTTAAGATAAATAATTCGGCAATAAATGCAGAAAGTAGGTAAACGTGTCTTCAATTTTTTAAAAAATATAAAAACAAATTTCGACAAAAAAATGCATTCCAAGCAAAAAGTCCAAGAACGATAATTTAATTGAAATTATATAATTTGATGAAAAATACCAAAGATTCAAATTGTTACAGAAATAAATAAACATTTCCGAAATATTTTTACGTTTTCCTTTCATAAATAAATATCCGCCCAATTTTTATTAAATAGTGAATCAGACACGCGTCAGTCTTTAGCTTTGGGATTATTGAGTCCTTCAAATCATATCGTGTTAAAAAAATAAATTATGAAAAAGTTTGACCATGAAAAGTGGAAGTAACTATTTTGGGATAAAAATTGTCTATTTTGGAGCAAATAATTTGTAAATACTTGTTTCCATCTCGAGTTGACATTGATCTTGCCGACAATTATTGAAAAATTAAAACGAAACAGCAATTATTTGCACGGAAATTTCTTTAAAAAAAATGAACCATTTCCAGTTTTTCTCCTACTTCCGTTATCGAAACAGAGTCATTAGACAAACCAATTTGTTCCATTTTGGTCGGTTTCATCAATAAGCTGCAGGCTACTTTATATTAAGATTGTGTCCGTCCGTCCGTCCGTACGACTGTGAGAGTGATTTGTTCCGTTTAATCATTAAGTTACAGGCTAAGGCTACACTCTAAGAAACCCGGTAACTAAATTATTACCAGCCGGAGTATCTATGTGACTCTACCGCATGGTAATTAATTTATTATTGAGTGGTAGAAAATGAGTTACCAAACCGGTAATAACTCCGGTCGCGAAATTTGAAAATATTACCAGTTGGTAACTAATTTTCTACCGCTCAATAATAAATTAATTACCATGCGGTAGAGTCACATAGATACTCCGCCTGGTAATAATTTAGTTACCGGGTTTCTTAGAGTGTACTTTATATGAAGATTTTGTCCGTCCGTCCGTCCGCCCGTGAGAGTGATAACTCATGAATTCTGGATATCGACATAAAACCTGATACCCGAGGGGGATCTCGTTAGCCCACATTGTAGGTCAAAAGGTCACAGAGCTATGTCATAATAGGCTTTGGGTACTTTATTATATCTGTTTCTGCACAGACAATTAAGTAAAAAATGACGTAATTACGGCACTCGTGTTACCCTGCTTACTAAATAATTGTTGAATTAATATCATGCAAAATGGTGATGACATGATTCTTTTCAAGTTTATTTTTTTGTGGAAAAAAATTACAATAACCATTGTGCTTCAGAACTACATACATAGATTACAAATCTGTGAATATTTTTCTGCATGCAAAAGAATTTCAAAGGTTAAGTTTTTGGGTGCATGTGAATCATAAAGATCGATTTTTTATACTCAAATTTTATATAAAAGGTGGATTTTTCATTATAAGAAGAACCAATTCGCTCGGATGTTTGTAACGCGGTAGAAACTTATCGTAGTAAAATATTGCAGAATTCTGTTCAATCACGACGACGTATAAACCTAATTACGTGTCAAATTCTAATTTACCAAAATTTTATTTATTGGCGTAAACCTCGTAAATTTCGTAGTCTTTGGTGACCTTGTAAAATCCGTAAATTCTGTAAACTTACAAACTTTTACAAAAATGATACAAGTATTTCGAAGAAAAATTAGCTTACAATTAAAAAAATTACTCAGATCAAGGGCGGCTCTTTATTTTTTATAGGTTTGTAAATTTACAGAATTGCCTTTTTATAATTCATGAAAAGTTTAAAAAAAAAATGATTTTCCTTCATTTCATTTCGAAAATTTACAAATTCTGCAAAATTTACTAAGGAGGGGAGGTTGTGTACTATCAACTCCCGGATCTCGATGCCCTTTGGATATGTTGTAGTGTCCCATGAATGTACAAGAACCCTGAAGTGGTTTGATTCCATGGCCACATTTGCGCCCGCCACACCCACTCAAAAATGCCCAAAAATCGCTTTCACTCCAGCTTTCACTCATTCAAAACCACGCCAAAAATCCAATTTTACCCCGATTTTGAAATTTCTTTCACCATTATACTCCCAGATAGTTTCTCTCTTATATCCAACATCAAAATCAACTTTTTTGATGATTATTTCGCAGCCATAATTTGCTTTGTTGATCACCACAACGATGCTAATTCAGAATTTTAAATTTTAAAAATACTAAAAATTTCAAAAAGTTGAGTTTGGTGTTGGATATAAGAGAGAAACTATCTGGGAGTATAATGGTGAAAGAAATTTCAAAATCGGAGTAAAATTGGATTTTTGGCGAGGATTTGAATGAGTGAAAGCTGGAGTGAAAGCGATTTTTGGATACATTTGAGTGGGTGTGGCGGGCGCAAATGTGGCTATGGAATCAAACCACTTCAGGGTTGTTCTATATTCATGGGACACTACAACATATCCAAAGGACATCGGGATCCGGGAGTTGATAGTACACAACCTCCCCTCCTAAGAAATTTATGCGTTACAAACAAGTTAGCGAATTGTTTCAAAACTTTAAAAATATTTTTCCACTGAAGGACATCGGATCTAAACATTTATTTATAGAAAGTCTACAAACTTGAAAAATGTATTTCGGCAGCAAATTCCAACTAATAATTTTTTTGGGAGGGTTTTACCTCGTGGGGCAAATCTATTGCCAGGATCCAGCAATTACGGCGTTGAACGCGAGAGTTACAGAAGTTAATAACACTGCAAGTAAGTTAAAATTATATGACGTGAACAATTTCGAAACCTTGTGAATTTGTAATTTAGTCGACAAAATTAATTAAATGGTAAATTATAATTGATTAATTTTGCATAAGTGAAATATATATATTTTCTGAGTAAATTTGGAATACAAAAAAATCACGATATTACGAAATTACGAGACACAAATCACGATATAAAAATCTCAATATTTTCAAAATTTCTCAAACAGGTTTCGTGAACCTGTAACTAATTTTAATTTCCTTCATTATCAGCCAGTAACAAAGTAGATAAATTTTACCAAAATCATTACTTCTTAAGATTTTCAAATTTCTTCACACTTTCAAAATGTCTTCAATTTAATTTCGTAAATCTGTAACTAATTTAAATATTTCCTTGGTTCCAAGTTGCCAACAAGAACGCCATAACCGGACTCACAACTCGCCTCACGAACCTGGAAACTCGACAAACTACCGACTACAACTTTTTAAATGGACGAATTACCACGATAAATACGAATTTGACATCCGTATACAAAACATTGAAGGATCACACGGCCGACATTTCGGTCCTGGCGTCAAGTTTGGATGCCGCAAATGCGAATATAGCCGCGGCAAATGACCAAATTTCAAAATTACAGGCGGCAAATCAAGTCTGGATCAGTAATTGGCGCGTGGTTAACAAAACTTTTGCCGAGTTGAGGAAAAAATTGAAATTTACGGTGGCTCGTGGAGCCATTCGGGTTGTGCAGGTCGGATAAGCAGGTTTTTTTCTGTGTAATTTGGTAATCATAATTAAATAGCGTACATAAACCGCTTTTCGAAAATAAATATGCAATAAAGAAATTAGTTTTAAGATGAGAAAGTCTTCAAAATTGGTTAATTTTAGGCGTAAATTTTCTGAAAATTTTTTAAAAGACACCGTAATCAATTAAAATGTTAAACAAAAATTTTGAATTTCATGTAATATTTTATTCGCAAAATTTCACAAAGCCGATTAACAACATTATTCCTTTGGCTGGGACTAACTATTTAATACACAAATCTGATAACAATTCTCCCAATTAACGGATATTGCGTTCAATTTATAATTAATTACTAATTAGGCAAGTCAATTGCTATTATCGTGTAATTTGCTGACATTAATTGGTTTCTCTACATCTGTATAAACTTAATTTGTTAAAAATAATATGCATATGCCAGTCCTCCAGCGACGACCAAAGTAAAGACGCCACCGACCACAGATGCCAGAACTTTTGTACTATATTTACCTCTGAAAATGGAACCTGATGTAAGAAAAAAATACGAATTATTAGAAAATAGTTTCACTAAAATTGCAGTGTTTGCCATGAAATTACTGCGAGAAATTGTTGTTTTACAGGCGCAATTTCCTATTAGTGTGCAAAAATAAGCGCCATCATCTACCAGAAAATTTCTCTAACTAAATTAGCACAAAGATTGACCCGCAGCCGCCAATTTTGGCACATCTTGCAATTTCTTGCAGTGCAAGAAATGTGAAAAAGGTGGAAGAAATTAAACACTAAGGTAATTCAAGCAGGTCTTGATGACATTGTAAATTCCGTAAACTTACAAACTTTTACAGAATTTTACAAATACTCATCCTCAGATCAAGGATGGGTAATTTATTATTTGTAAAAGTTCATAAAATTATGTATTTTACAAAATTGACGGATTTTACAAAGTTACAAATGACTGCGTGAATTGCGTCACTAATAATCACTTTCTTGTGGGAAAAATTAAAAAAAACAAATAAAAAATCGAACCCACACTTTTTTTTAGAAATTAGAATATTACAAAATTTGGTAGCGTGGTCATATTGGTATTTGTATACATACCGATATAACTCATATTCTCAAAGTATATGTAATGCTGCATTACAGGGTTTACGCTATCCAGACAAAACTTGTACATCGTGAGTACCATACTTTCTGCGGGTTTGTTAACTTCGGTCCCTTTTTCTTCGTCTCGAGCAGTTTCGGATGATTCGTCGTCGTCCGAAAATAATTCATCGGTTTGATGTGAATTTATCATTTTTTGAACTTCCCACATTTCGCTGTGTTTGTCGACATCGGCACGAATTTCGGCGAGGCGTGCCTTTTCGCCTTTGAGAACGTCGGCGAAGGTCGGTGTTACTGTGGAGGGAATTATTTCACAGAGTACATTACCAATAGATATGTAAATTTTACTATTTATTAATTTAGGAAATTTACGCAGCTCTTGGTAACTTTATAAAATCCGTTAACTTACAACCTCTTACAAATATTTCCTTCCTTGGGAAAATTAGGTTATAAATTTCTTGTAAACTTACTCAGATCAAGGGCGTGTTTGTATTTTAGAAAAATTTCCGAAATTATTTTACAAAATTTACGGATTTTACAAAGTTGAGAACGATTGCGTGAATTACTACTGCGTACACTTTACAAATACAAACTTACTGAGGTGCGGAATTGGACTTTTGGGTTCCGAAGCCGTCGGGCTACCACCATCTTGGGCTAAAAAATGTTAAATGAAACATAATTTAAAAATTCAAATTGTTTTTATATTATTATGAAAATTTGACTGCAAATTAATTTTTGGTGCTACAAAAAAATAGATTAAAAACGACTAAATTTCATTTTTTGAGGAAATTTATTGTGAAAAAATTACAAATGAACTAGAAGTTATTTTTGCATTTACTAAAGAATTTGGTAAAGACATTGAATTGGGGTAGAGTGAGATTAAAAACCTATTCCAGCCATTTGGTAGTTAAATATAAATAATTTTTCATCCCAACATTTTTGAAATTCGCCTACGCCGAATTAGAAATTCAAACAAACTTTTGTGGTGACTTAGGTGTCAGGTATTTTACAATTGTCAACTGAAGATGCACTAGTATGCGGATTTTGAATTTAAAATTTTATAACTTTTCTTTCCGTACTAGTCTCTTGAGCCCGCATTGCGGGCTCTAAGCAAAACGATTTTATTTAGTCACCGATACAAATGTCTGCGGACTAATTGTTACACATTTACATTCACACAGCAAAGTAGCATGGGCTTGATTGTCACGTTGTATATGACGATGTGTAATAATACAGTTCTTCACGTTACTATTCTAACTGGTGTAACCACGAAAAACGTGCCGTCACAACTCTAAAGGATGTGACCACAAAAACGAAATACATCTAAGAAAAACGATTTTATTATTTTATTACGAAAAACGTCACTCACGACTCTAAAGGGTGTGACCACGAAAAACGTTCAGTCACGACTCTAAAGGGTGTGACCACGAAAAACGTTCAGTCACGACTCTAAAGGGTGTGTCCACGAAAAACGTTCAGTCACAACTCTACAGGGAGTGTCCAGATCAAGAGGCGTAGTCAATTTCAAGGAGTATTCAATTGTTCTAACGTTTTAAAAAACGTTTAAGAACTTGAAGCGAAAGCCCGACCTCTAGCGATGAAAAACAACCTACATCCTGTAGGTGGCGCTGATAGGTAAATTAAATTAGTGTCAACCCACAGAATTAGAGGAGTAATACTATATTACCTAGAAGCAGTAATGGGCTACGTGAGACTGTCACTCTGCTGTAGCCCTCCTCCCATCAGCGGAGCAAAAGAACATCTTCTAACTCCGTTGAAGGTGGAAAGGTGGGAGATTTGTAGCATGCATGTAGTGGTGCTGAGAAGGGTGTTGTGAGACTCTGATTCTCACATTTTAAAAGTTTAGTGCTCTCACCCGATTGGCTGAAATGTTGCACACTTCGGACGTGAGTGTCGCTCACATTGACATGCTTTTGAGATTACGCTAAAATACGCATCCCTGCCCTTTGTGTCAACCATTGCTTGGGTTCCCAGTGGTCACAGGTCATATGTAAACTCAGGGGGGTGTGCCCACGTCACAGGTAAAGGATAAACTTGGGGGAGTGTGCCGAGGTCACAGGTCATATATCAAGTCTACTGGGTGTGCCCAGGTCACAGGTCTAGTGGAAAGTCTAGTGGGTGTGTCAAGGTCATAGGTCAAATTTGAAGTCTAGTTGGTGTGCCCAGGTCACAGGCCAAATCCAAAGTCTAGTGTGTGTGCCCAGGTCACAGGTCAAATGTCAACTCTGGAGGGCGTGCCCGTTCATGTGATCAAGTCGGATGTAAATGGGTGTAGCGTTAGTTAGTCAACCATTTGGAAACGTTTTGACACTTTAGCGGGGAACGCCCTCTAGGAACGAAAAATGCAACATACAGTCCGTTTATTTACCATACGACCCTCGACGTCACCACTGCAATGCTATTAGTAATGAGAGTGATGACGTCGAGGATCGTATGGTTAAAAAAACAGGAGTAGTGCCCAAACTGCCGCTAGTTGACGTAAGCTTGGACAATGTAAGACACGTGTGTAATTTAATCATAATCAAGCGCCAAGTTCAACTGGTAACACACACACACACACACCACTGCACAATTCTTGGTTCTGACTAGTCTCTTAAGCCCGCAATGCGGGCTCTAATCACAACGATTTTATTATTTTATTACGAAAAACGTTCAGTCACGACGCTATGGGTGTGACCACGAAAAACGTTGTCAAGACTCTAAAGGGGGTGGCCACGAAAAACGTTCTTCACGACTCTAAAGGGGGTGCCCACGAAAAACGTTCTTCACGACTCTAAAGGGGGTGGCCACGAAAAACGTTCAGTCACGACTCTATGGGTGTGACCACGAAATTCGGTCAGTCAAGACCCTATGGGTGTGACCACGAAAACCGTTCAGTCACGACTCTAAAGGGGGTGCCCACGAAAAACGTTCTTCACGACTTTAAAGGGGGTGGCCACGAAAACCGTTCAGTCACGACTCTAAATGGGGGTGCCGACGAAAAACGTTCTTCACGACTCTAAAGGGGGTGGCCACGAAAAACGTTTAGTCACGACTCTAAATGGGGGTGGCCACGAAAACCGTTCAGTCACGACTCTAAATGGGGGTGCCCACGAAAAACGTTCAGTCACGACTCTAAATGGGGGTGCCCACGAAAAACGTTCTTCACGACTTTAAAGGGGTGGCCACGAAAAACGTTCAGTCACGACTCTAAATGGGGGTGCCACGAAAAACGTTCAGTCACGACTCTAAATGGGGGTGCCCACGAAAAACGTTCTTCACGACTCTAAAGCGGGTGGCCACGAAAACCGTTCAGTCACGACTCTAAAGTGGGTGCCCACGAAAAACGTTCTTCACGACTCTAATGGGGGTGGCCACGAAAAACGGTCTTCACGACTCTAAAGGGGGTGGCCACGAAAAACGTTCAGTCACGACTCTAAATGGGGGTGGCCACGAAAACCGTTCAGTCAGGACTCTAAATGGGGGTGCCCACAAAAAACGTTCTTCACGACTCTAAAGGGGGTGCCGACGAAAAACGTTCTTCACGACTCTAAAGGGGGTGGCCACGAAAAACGTTTAGTCACGACTCTATGGGTTTACCACGAAAAACGTCCGGTCACGACTCTATGGGTTTACCACGAAAAACGTTAGGTCACGACTCTAAAGGGGGTGGCCACGAAAACGTTTAGTCATGACTCTAAAGGGGGTGGCCACGAAAACCGTTCAGTCACGACTCTATGGGTTTACCACGAAAAACGTTAGGTCACGACTCTAAAGGGGGTGGCCACGAAAACCGTTCAGTCACGACTCTAAAGTGGGTGCCCACGAAAAACGGTCTTCACGACTCTAAAGGGGGTGGCCACGAAAATGTTCAGTCACGACTCTAAAGGGGGTGGCCACGAAAAACGTTCAGTCACGACTCTAAAGGGGGTGGCCACGAAAAACGTTCTTCAGGACTCTAGGGGTTAATCACGGAAAACGTTCGGTCACAACTCTGAAGTATGGCATTGTTCTAACGTTTTAAGAACGTTTAGGCACTTAAAGCAAAAGCCCGCCCTCTAGCGCTGAAAAACAGCCAACATCCGATAGGTGGCGCTTGTAGGTAATTAAAATTAGTAAGGCACAGGTCAAGTGTCAAGTATACCGTGGGGCACAGAGGTCACAGGTCAAGTATAGTGGATGTGCCCAGGTCACAGGTTAAATGTCAAATCTAGTGGGTGTGCCAAGGTCACAGGTCAAATGTCAAGTGTAGTGGGTGTGCCCAAGTCATAGGTCAAGTGTAGCGGGTGTGCCCAGGTCACAGGTCAAGTATGGTGGGTGTGCCCAAGCCACAATTCTGAGTGTCAACTCTGTAAAGTGTCAACTTTATTGGTTGTACGCAGGTCGCAGGTCAAATGTCAAGTCCAGGGGGTGTTCCAAGGTCATAGGTCCAATGTCAAATCTAGTGGGTGTGCCAAGGTCACAGGTCAAATCTAGTGGGTGTGCCAAGGTCACAGGTCAAATCTAGTGGGTGTGCCAAGGTCACAGGTCAAATGTCAAGTCTAGTGGGTGTGCCCAGGTCACAGGTAAAGTGTCAAGTTTAGGGGGTGTGCCCGTTCATTTGATCAAGTCTCGGCAGATCTAAAGGGTGTGTTTCGTTGTTATCGTGTTCGTCAACGTTTTGACACTTTAGCGAAAAACGCCTTCTAGAAACGAAAAATGTAACATAGTGCCCCAACTGCCGCTAGGTGACATTAGCTTCGACAATGTGAGACACGTGGGTTATCAAGCGCCAAGTTCAACTGGTAACACACACCACTGCACAATTCTTGGTTCTGATGAAAATAATAATAGGTGTTTACAAAATGTTGACTTATAAGTGTACCCACCACTTATAAGTCGTTTCCACTTTTAAGTGACACTGCGCGAGCATGCGCAGTGGCTAGTATTTCACTTATAAGTGATCGGAAAATAAGTCTCCTGGATTGACTTTTTTCTGGAATAAGACACTTATTTCGCTTGTTTTGAGCATCAGCTGCCGTTGAAATTTCACTCACTCAAATTTGCTGCAGGGCACTTGCTGCTCAATAAATTATTTTTCAATCGAGTTTTAATCCGTATTCAAGTTATTTAAAATGGTGCATAATTGAAATTGGTTTAATTACGATAGTGCTGTGAAATATTTAAAATGGGGAGTTCAAATGAGAGTGAAGATTAAATTTTCAATCATTCGAAGTCATAAATATCATGTAATTTATATATTAGGTAAGAATTCAAAGGTCGTACCTATTGTTGAAGTTTTAGGTCTTTTTAAAGCTACTATGTTTGTTTTTGCAATGATTTTGACGTTTAATGCAATTCGGTCGCCTGAATTGCATATAACATAAAATTTAAACAAAAAGTGGAGCATTCAAATAGAACCCACTTATAATTGATTTATATAAATGACTTATAATTTGTGGGAAAACCAAAATAAGTCGATTGTAAACCCCTAATGTCTAAAAATTCTAACCTCATAACTTTGTAAACCTAAAAATTATCGATTTTAACATGCAATAAAATGTTCATTTCATAAAAAACGCATACATATGAACCGGTGTCAAAATCGTTTTTGGAAACATTGAAGAAGGGAAAGTTGAGACAGACAGATTTAAATCCAAAAACAGCATGCAATAGCACCTTAAAAATCTGGTTGAGTCACATATATACTCCGTACCGGTATTGATTTGTTAATAACATCCTATAGGATTGGTAGTAGTTTGTTTCTGAGTTGTAATTCTTCATTACCACGACATTACTAAACGGTAATGCCTATTATTACCAATGCCGGTAGAGTCATATACATATGTCCTCCCGGCAGTGCTAATGATTTAATATCGATTTTCTAATAAACTTACAAAACGACAGAATATCCGGCCAATTGACAACATCTTCACAAAATATTGCGGTAGATTCTTCTTGAACGGAATGATGATAACCCGTCTCCTCGTTTAAATTACAATGATCCAAATTCTTCAAAATTTCCGCATTAGTCTCACGAACTTGTACAGTTGAATCGGACAAATTCCGAATTTCCAAGTCTAACTGGATAAGCGTTGTGGTGTCGCGGTTTCGTTGAGGTCGAAAATCTTGCTGTTCCGGCATGGTTGTTTTTTAGTAATTTAATAAATTTAACGTTGGAAATTATTTTTTTTGAAAATCTGCAAGAAAATGGACCAAAATCTGCCTGGTGTCAGGTACATGCATAAATATGTGACTGAAACTGGGTTATTTTTATCGTTATTTTACTCCGCTTAATTTTATTCCGGGTTCTTTATGTACACTTTGCAAACAAGTGACAAACAAATATTTAAGTAAATACAAATAATGAGCAGAGTCCGAGATACGGAAATGGAGTGAGATGAGGTGAGATCATGGTTTTGATGTGATGATGAGATCAGCTCGTACCTACGAGTGAACTATATGATTTTTATAATTTTGAGTAATTTCTACGCCGTATATACAATTTCTGGTTAAATTTTAAACCTAAAAATGTTCAAGATCATAGATTTGGATTGTTTCAAATTTTAATTCAGCTAACTGCCGTTGTTTCGATAAGAAAGTTACGAGTAAATAGTTGGTTCCACAAAAATTCAATTCAATTCACCATTCACGAAGCAATTCACGTCCCCCTTCGTAAGTTCGTAACCCCGTAAACTTACGGAGAGCAGCTTACGAACGAAAAACATGCCTTTCATCTTCGTATGATTTTGTAAGTACGTAAGCAAAAAAAACTGGCTTCGAAATGTTCCCAAGTTTCATAAATTTTGAAAGGTTACGAGGTTACGGAGTTACAAAGGATGACGTGAATTGAGTTTAATAACTAACCTTAAAATAATAATTTCCTAATCGAAACAATGGTATCTATCTTGATAAATTAAAATTTCAAATAATCAAAACTTACAATCTGAAACATTTTTAAGGGTAACAATTAACGAGAAATTGCATTCACGGCACAAAAATTACTCAAAATTATAAACATCATATTGGGACGCACAAGTTGATCTTCACGTCAAAACCATGATCTCACTTTGCCTCTTCTCATCCCAATTCCGTATCGGACTTTGCTGCTTATTTTGTTCGTCATTGTTTGCAAAGTATACATGCATTTGTTCGTAAAGAACACGGAATAAAAAGTAGTGGTAAAAAGTAACTAACCCAGTCTTATTGTCAGATAAGTCATATATTTGCATACCTGACAACAGACAGAATTAGGTCCATAATTCGTAATCACGTGTCTAAACAAATAAATGGGGGATACATATTTATATCTCTATAAAAAAAATCACGGGAATATTGTTTCAACGTTGTCTTAGAAAACTGGTATTAAATCAGTACATATGTCACTCTACCGACCCTGGTAATAACGGGAATTACCGTTCAATAATGAAAAATTACCACCCAGGAACAATTTACTACTAATCCGGTATTAAGTTATTACCAAATCAATACCAGGACGGAGCATTTATGTGACTCTACCAGATTTTTAACAATGCAGATGCTTATGCATACATGTTTTGGCAGACGTATATATGTATCAAATTATTATGAAAACTGTTCCACAAAACAAAAACAAAACTAAAATGGATGGATTAAATATTCAATTTGATCAAGATTTCCAACATTTCAGAAATCCAAAGCTTTTGGAATAAACTGAAAAAATGTTTCTTAAGTTGTGCAACGGTTATAAAATTGTTTTTATTGATGTTCTTTGTTCTTATCATCCCAGTTTGATAAATATTGTGCGACATGGATCTCAAACTTTTATTGGTATTTGTACGTAATGTAAATATTTTTCGAAAAGTGGGCTAACCCATTTTCAGTGAATTTTGGAAACAAACATCTACCCACAATATCAATAAACACTTTTTGCTTATAAATAAATATGAATGTGTCGGATTGTTTGTTTGTTTTGATACGGAAGCAAAGTTTTGCATAGCACAAATAAAACGAGACTTGATACGATTTGTCTTGTTGGGTAGAAAAAAAGTTGAAATAAGGAAATTGAGAACGATGATAACATCCAAGTATTTAAGGATAAGTCTCACCTAAATATTGGTTGACGCTACTGACACAATTCTGCTTTTTACATTGTCATCACTGAAGGTGGAATAACTCATGTCACAAATTTTTAATCCTTCTCTACCCCAAGTTCTTTAAAACAAAATTTTTGGAATAAATAACACAAATTTCTAGAGTTTTGAGAGAAATACCATGCACGTTTCATAGATAGTTTTATGATAGTTTATTTTTGGTACTACAAAAATATCAATTTGATATAAAATTGTGAATTTTGTAATTTTTCCGCAACAAAATTCCTCCAAAATTAATTCGCCAATTTGATGGGAATCGATAATTTTGCACTAACAAAAATTAACGTTGCATTAAAGTATGGACAGTTGTATTTATCTAAAAATTCAAAGAAATTGATGCCACTTTAGAAATTTGCATTTAAAGAAATTAAATAGGGGTAGAGCGAGATTAAAAATCTATGCCACATCAAATCGTCGTTTTATATAGCTCCTTAATCATCCCATTTGGCCAGAACATTCCCAACCCGGAAGTCAATAAAAGGTAAAAGTAGAAAATTATTTAATAAAACAATTCGTTATTAAAAATGAATACGCGTAAAATATGTGATCTACGGTTTTGTGGAAAGCTTGTAAAACTTTGATGCATTTACGAATCAACGGATTATTTTTTTCAATGGGTGTACTCACGCCAACTTTCTCTTATTCCTCGCAAATTAGGTCAGTAGATTAAAATAGTTTTATGAATTTTTTGTTCGATTTCTCTAAATTTTTGACAGAATTTTTAGAATTGACAGAATTCCCCAATTTTTGGACGATACGAACTAACTGAATGTTTTTATTTTGCAAATTATTTCAAAAATTAGGCATACATAAAAATTAGTAAGGTACATTTAACCATTATTTTTCTCTGATTTTATTCACCCCACAGAAAACCATGTCGGACAACACCTCCCGTTTAGTACAAGCCTTAGAAATGGCCAAAATCAAACATAACGAAGTAATCCAACAACAAATCCAAATCGAGCAAAAACTCGTCCTTAAAGACAACCAAATTTCTCACCTTGCCCAACAAGCCGTCAACTTAGAGGGAACCCTGTCCCACCGAATTAACGAGAACAAAACCCTACAAACCCGAAATGCCGCCTTACAAGAGGAAGTCCGCACTTTAAAAGAAGAAATCCGCCGATTAAACGAGGAAATCCTCTGTCTCAAGGATACCCAGAAAGATAAGCAGCAACTTATCGACCTCTACCAAACCCAAATTTTCGACCATAAAGCCAAAATTTCCGAACTTGCGAAAAATTTCGAAATTCAGGCCAAAATAAATAAAGCGCAGGTTTTCCGAGCCATGAAAAAATTCGGTCGGTCCGGAGCCGTCACAAGTTTTGAGCGCCATCTCGAAGCCGGAAAAGTAGTCGACGAGATGACCATTACTTTTAACGAAATGATGAAAAAAGGTGGAGATTTGACCAATCTGGGGGAAAAGTTTGTTTCGAAATTTGACAAAAATTTGGCGAAATTTACACCCCGGCAAGAAAACGGGTTGAGATTGATTAACGCTAGATTGACGGATTCCAATAAAAGGGTTGAATTAAGGGGGGTTTTGGATTCAGTGGGAAATTCGGAGTTTGATAAAATACAGGAGGATTTTTTTCGATATTGTGAAGAAAATAATGGCCCGAAACTTTTTTTGGAACAATATCCACAATTTTATTCCCCAAATGGGAACGCAAGGGTGCAAAATATTCGAAAGGTGGTTGAATCTAAATTGGTTGCGGGTGAGTTTAAACGGCTGTGGGGTGAAGTGACGTCCAAAACGGCGGGGTGGAATGAGAACAGGGTCCTGTTTTATGATATGGTTGCCTCAGAAAGGTCAGATTATGGGGCGGGGAAGGGTTTTGTTTATAGGTCGGGGGCCAATTTTAAAAGCTTTTGGGCTAGGTTTTGGTAAAAAAAATGGGCAAAAAAGTGTTAGATTTATGTAATTTTGTAATGTTTACAATTTCGAAAATTTTAACAAATTATGTACAAAAATTACCATTCACAAAAATTATTTAATTATTTACAAAAATTATTAAGAAAGATGTAGAAAATATGTGTTCGTTTAAGTAATTCATGACGACTTATTATTGGGCTTACTCACGACAAACTTTGCAAATTGAGTAATTGGCGAGGTTTTGTAAAATTAGTAAAAATTTGGAATTGGAAAAATACGTATGCAATTTTTTTCTAAATTTACCCAAATTGGCATGTTATAATATAATTTTTTTATTTTGGAAAATTTTGGAAATTTTTCGAACAATATTTTACAATAATATTTACACGAAATAATTATTCAGCCTTATAAGTAAATTTGTTAAACAAGTTGCCAGCCATGTTTAATTCGTAACAATTTTGTAAATTTGTAATAAAATTAAGACATTTTTTTAAATAAAGGACGTAATTTAGATTGGTTAAATTGAATTCATTACGTTCCCAATGTGGACTTGTAACCTAAAATAAAGTAAATAGGATTAGAAAACGGGAAATTTTGCGTAATTTACATAACTTGTAACCTTACTAAGTATAAATTCAATAACTTGTAACCTTACTAAATATAAATTCAAGACATAATTTCATATATTTATCTCCACATTTCTGTAAACTGGGACCTGTATCATAATAAATTATGCCCAATTTATTAAAACCGAAAGTTGAACGTTAAGCTATTACTAAAATTATAAATTGTAATATTAAGCGTACTTACGACAACGTCTTATTTCGCATCGCAACTCATTTAGCAAAGATGCGAAGATCAAAGAATTTGTGTGGTTAGGGGATTCGCAAAATATAACTTCGTAAATCTCGCAAATCTACTGAAAAAAACACTTATTTTGCTATCGTTTCCATGCATTTCTGTAATTTCTCAGAGCAAAAATGCTGGGTAAATTTGCGTAAAAACTAGATACTTTTCCGGCGAAAGTTCGACAAAATCTCGCAAAATTCCCAAAATTTCGCAAGTTATACAAATATTGGTATGCTGAATTTGCGAGACGTGTGAAGGTTGACATGAGTACAATCAATAATTTGGGAGATATATAAAATTCTTTCTTTTTAAGTTAATTTAGTTTTTAATATCTAAATTAATCAAATAAATTAAAATTGCTCAGGAACAAATTACATAATTTGCAAAATATGTAAAAATTTTTGCTCGAATTTAAATAGCTTAAAAACAATGACGTGTTTTTTGTGTAACAACAAATATGAGATTTCGCTGGATAAAAATAAATTGATTTTGCAGGGAAATTTTGCACTTGCTAAAATCCATGAGGGAGAAAATTTTTCACTGAATCACATACGCAAATCGCAGACCAATATTTTCATCCTGTCCGATGAGGGCAGGGCATTGGGCAGAAGAATTTTGCACTTGAATTTTGCACATGCCAAATTATAAACATTCACCGTATCACGATCAAGTTGAAAATAGTACTGTTGTAAAGCAAACCAAGTACTTGATCAACAAGTTTTTTGCTGCCACAGAGAGATTATTAACGTTCAAGGACGCTGCACGGATTAAAACTCAGCTTGCAAAGCAAGTTGCGTTTTGTATGAATTGGGGACTCAGACTGGGAGCAAGGCGTCTCGTTTTTGTCATATTTTAAAATTATTCAAATTAATAAACTACTTTAATTAAAACTATAATTTATTTGTTTAATAAAAGAATTTTTATTTAAAATTTTAACCGTAAAAATTTAAAACTTGGCCAGCCTAAAAAATATAAGTGAAATAATTAAAATACTGAAATTGTAATGTTTTCACTACAAGAAATATTTTTGGGGGTAACATTCCTCCTGCTTTTGTGGTATTTGTTAACCCGGAGAAGTGGAAAATTACCGGATCCACCAGGTATTTGCATATTCATTTTGCGTCTAAAAATAATTTAGCAAAAGTCTAAGCGAAATATAATTTTATTTTTTTTGGAAACTTACATATTAACGCATTTTTTATTTAAAAATAATTTTTTTCTTATCTATGAGGAAATTCACGGTATCTTAAAATCCGTAAATTCTATATGTAAACTTAAGAAATTTTAGAAATATTCCGATGAAAAATAACGCCCAAATTTTTATGAATTTACACGTCTTACTTCTGTCTGTTTATACCATGAAAGTTTGTAAAATTATCAAGTTCGCAAAATTATCAAGTTCGCAATGTCGACGTACCTTAATCAAATAATTCTGTAAAAATTGATACGATTTTACGCCAATAAATAAATTTTAGGTAAATTAGATAATCCAAAATGTGTAAGTAGATTCCTGGCATTCTCCAGCTTTTATAATGGGCCTCCTCAGACAGATCTCAAAAATTTCGCTTGCTTCGCTTGGTTAGAAATGTCGCTTACGTTAGCGAAGGTGCATCATCACCGTCACTCAAACAACCAATCAGAGCTCGCCATTCTAAGCGAGCCAAAATCTGGGGAAGCGAGGCTCTCGAGTAGAGTTAGTGTCGCTTACTTTTTCTCTCCTCATCTGCTGCTGTTGTGAATTTTAAAATTCGCGCACAGTCTCACCTTAACTGTTTGTCTCTCTTTGCTGTAGCAAATCTTTGGGCGAGTTATTAAGCGAAAAGAGTTCAGTCAGATTTACTTCGCTAGTTCGCTTAATGCAGCGAAATTTTTAACCAAGCGAATCAAGCGAATTTTTTGAGATGTGACTGAGGAGCCCCAATATTTCCAAACTTTGCTAAGTTTTATCGCGTTACAAATATCCGAGCGAATTGGGTTCGATAATCCAAAATCCACCTTCTACAGTAAATTTGATAAAAAATCGATCTCTAGGTTTCGCATGCACATTTAACTTAACCTTTCAATTACTTAATCATAATATTTGTAAAAATGTTTATGCAAAAAATATCCCATATTTAAAATCAATATATACAGCAAAATTTTAGTGTATGAAATACTGACAAAAAAACTCAAAATCGAGTGGCCGTAAAAATGGAGTATTTGTCGTTTAGAAAATTGGTTCAGAAAATTGAGAAATAATCTCAGACGGAAATGTTACAATATATTTATAAAATTTTGCACAATTATTGTTCCTTGTTCCTAACGCTTCTTAACGGTTAAATAGTTGCAACAGTTTTTGTAACCTATTTAATTCTATAAAATTGCATGATTACAAATTTTCAAGGTTACAAAGTTGACGTGAATACGGATAACTTTATTTCACTGCAGGTCCCAGAGGGTTGCCCCTGCTCGGAAATATCCTCCAAATGGATAAAGCGTTACACATGACGTTTTCCAAATGGGCAAAAATCTACGGTCCCGTTGTCCAAGCTCACTTGGCGACAACGAGGTAAGAAAATTTATCGTGGTATTAAAACTTTATCAACAATTTTATGCAAAACACACATTTTTTTTTCATTGCACGAATGTTCAGAACAGAGAAGAAATTTAAAATCGAATGAATTTAAAACTGATCCGTAAACTTAAAAATTGTGTACACAATTTTATTTGGAAAAGATTACAAAAGAAAAGTGATGTTACAAATTTTTTTAAGGTTACACAAAAATTGAGAACATTTTTATATAAAAAAAATAATCTGCAAGAATTGCATTTCTGTATACTCTAAAGCATCCGGTAGAGTCACATATGTACTCCGTGTTGGTATTGATTTGGTAATAATTTCTTACCGGGTTGGTTATAGTTTAATTCTGAGTGGTAGCGATTTCATTACCACAACATTACTACGCCATAACGATCGATATTACCGATGCCGGTAGAGTCATATATGTACTCCGTCCGGTGATGATTCGAAATGATTTAATACCAATTGCCTAAGAGTGAAATAATAAAAATTCGAATGAAATTAAACAGTTTCGATGCCAAAGTATCAAAGATTTCAAAGTAATACTAATCACGATGAGTTTTCAAAGGTGCAAGGGGCTTCCTTTACAATTTTCCAATGTTAGTATATTTTTTTTAATGTTACCGATTTTGGAATTGCGTGTAATGTAAACATTTGTTAATATAAACAGGAAATTATTTCGAGTTCTAACAAATTTTTTTCAGTCATAAAAGAACCCAAAATGTAATCAGGTTTTTATTTGATTTGATTTTTATTTACAAAGAAGCACACCATTTCTGGCTGAGGCAATTCACCTCAGCCTTCGTAAGTTTGTAAATATCACGTAAACTTCCGAAATTTACGAACTTCTGACCAAACTTGGGAACGTCTCGAAGGTAAGAGCTTACAAAACCTTACGAAGATGAAAAGCATGTTTATGGTTCGTAAGCTGATCTTCGGAAGTTTACGTGGTTACGAAATTACAAAGGGGGACGTGAATTGCTTCAGTAAATATACAATACAAAAATGCAATTCTCGCTAAGGAGGTGTTTATACATTAATTTCGTAAACCAGTTAAAATTGCAAAGTTTACGAAGGGCTACACAAAAAGTTGCATATTTTGGTAGAGTTAAACATTTTACATAGGAATGACCATGAGGCAGTTCGTACCGGTTAGGAAAGGAGCTAAAAGCATCTTTCGTATTCATAATGTACAATTTAGCTTGAAATAAATGTACAGCTTGGCATTAAAACTGTCCAATTTTCAAACTTTTAATGCTCAGAAATCCTCAGTAAAATTTTATTCTGTAAGTACTTAATTGACGCAGTTCTTGGAAACATTGTAAAATCCGTCATTCAAAAAAATAATAATTTTGCAAACTTTTACAAAATAAAAAGATCTTAACACCGTTACCAAAATTTGTGAGATAATTTTCCCAAAAAATTTGAATAAATTTTGTAAAAGTGTGAAAGTTTACGGATCTTACATACAATATTGCCAAGGCCTGCGTGAATTGATTCAATGATTTAGAGAGGATTCCTGGGTAATAAAAATTTGCGTGAATTTGAAAAAATTGGACAGTTTTAACGCCATATTTCAAAGTAAATCATACATGATGTTTGCAAAAGGTAGTGTAAGATCGTTTGAACGAAATTTGTAGTTTTACAAAATGTACCTCAATTTTTTCGTAGTAAAATTTTCCCACTGTTTCAAACGTTCTTTGTTCTAATCTTTGCCAGCCCTTTGTTTTCTAGAATTTTTATCATTTTGGATCACAACCTAAGTGATAAAAGTCCGCGTAAATTTTAAAATTGAACAGTTTCGATGCCAAATTATATATTTGAGATTAAATCGTGTATATCATTATCAAAGGTGTGAATGATTCCTTCCCGGAAGGTATTACAATTTAGAATTTTTAAAATGAGAAATTGCATTTTTTTGGAACTTTTTAAATTTTCTCAAATTTGCCTCAATAAAAATAACTGCTACGGTTCTAAAAGTATTAAACATCCGAGTGAATTTGCTAAACTGCGAATTGAACAGTTTCGATGCCAAATTTTATATTGAAGAGTAAATCGTGCACCATTTTCATTAAAGGTTCCTTTCTCATTTCCTTTCGGAATGGTGTAAATAAAACTTCGATTTTTTTAATTTTGAAAATTTGTTTCAACGTTCTCAAATTTTCCGTTTTAAATTTTTATTTTTTTTGTTAATTTTCTAATTTTCCACAATTGTCATCATTTCGATTATATGGTAATAAAAGTTCTAATTTTTTGAATCTTGCAAATTTGTCCTTTTCCCCAATTTATCTCAAGTTTTTAAAATTTTCTGACTGTTTCCAATGTTTGTTTTTTTGTTTTAATTTTGTAATTGTCCATAATTGTCATTATTATGGTTCCATGGTATTAAAATTTCGAATAATTTGAATCTAGACAATTAGTTATCTTTTAAAATTTGTCTCAACTTTTTTAAACTTTTGGACTGTTTTACAAGTTTTTTTTTCTTAATTTTCCAGAATTGCCATCATTTCGGATCACGTCATTCTCCGAAAAATATTCGCCCAAACGGAATATTCTGGTCGGCCGGATTTCCACTCGGACATGACTTCCACCCCGGCAGAAATCGCGGAAATGAAGAAATTGTATGGAAAATCCGCCTACGGATTGTCGCCCACCGAAGGAAAAATCTGGGAAGAATTGCGACGTTTTACACTCCGACAGTTACGCGATTTCGGATTTGGAAAGCAGTCCATGGAGGAATTAATTATGGTCGAAGTTGCCGAATTAATCGAACATTTAAAACGTTTCGAAGTTGGGAGAAAGCCGGTGACGGATTTGAAGGAAATGTCGATTTTAGCCGTGGCGAATTCGCTACGAGTTATCGTGGCGGGAAAACGGTATCGACATGACGACCCGGAATTGTTGAATTTTACGAGGACGGCGGAAAAGTAAGGGCACCATTCGTATTAAGGGGTTCAAAATCGGTTTCTACTGTTCATTCGGAAAAAATGTGACCTTCGTCAAGCCAATTATCTCTAAAAGGTTACCTGGCAGCCATCGTAATTTTAAGGAATATCTTAGCAACTTCTGAATTTCGAAGCGGAAATAAATTTCTGTAATTGATCAAATAATAAAAATAGACAAATTCCGCCAGGTAAACTTTTAGAATTTCCAAGGCCACAGTTTTCTCGGATGAACAGTAACTTTTGTGAAATCGGTTAAAACTCGGTATATTATTGGAGTTACTAACTTATTTGGCTTGTTTTTCATATAAAAATTAATTGCTCTGACGTACATATATTTGTCCCAAATTTATAACTAAATTTGGTCAGATTTTTTATTTTATTTTGCCGGATTATACGTATAATTGTTTTTAATTTGGTGTAAAAGTGGTTTCAAAAACGGTTTGGAGAAAAACGAATCTAGGAATTTACTGTTTTACGAAAATTGACAAACGGAAGTTTGTCACAATGGACCTGGTTTTTCAAAAGTTTCCCGTTTTGTATGTCCTACCCCGTAAATAATAATACGTAATTATGATTTCGGTAGCAAACATTTCAAACAAGGTCGTAATTTACGACTCGTAATGCACTAATCCTGAGGCAATTCACGTAGGCCTTGGTGTCATTGCAAAATCGGTAACACCCGTAAATTTACAAATTTTTGGAAATATTTCAAAAGGAAAATTAGCTTTCAAATTTCTGTAAATTTACTCCAATGAAAGACGTCTTTTTATTTTGTATAGAAGTTAGTAAAATTGTTTTACAGATGGCATTAATTTTACAGGTTTATCAATTCAATAAGACAGGAGAAATTGACAGGGTTTTATGCCAGCAAGTAAAATTGAGATGGATTATATTTGGCAAAACATATAAGATAAAATAACGAAAAATTTTTGCAATATTTTTCAACTTGGTTAAGCTTTATAAACATCGTATCAGTTGATTTTCTCGATAATCACAAATCTATCCTTTACCTAAAATTGAATTGAAAAGATCTATTTTTGCATGTAAATCTTGTAAACTTATAAAACTTTACAAATATTTATAGGGAAAATAAGCTTACAAATTTTCGCGATCTTTTTTACAACTTTTGGTTCAGTAAAATATTTATACAAATTTAAGGATTTTATAAGTTACCAATGACTGCCTCACTTTTAGGTTTGGACTAATGTTTCATTTGTCACTGATTAGTAATAAATTTCAATTTCGAGGTAAACCCTAATATGTACAGTAGGGTCAGGCGCTTAAGATATAACGATTTTGGCCTTGAATAACCCCGGAACGGTTTGTCGTAGCGGGTCAAAATTTTGAACAGAGGAGCATGTTATCCTCAGATAGTTGTGTGCAAAAATTCAACCCTCTACTTTCAAAATTGCCTCCCCCACAGCCCCCAGAAGGTTAGGCAGTCATAAAAACTCGTTGCAAACTTAATTACTCATACAGCAAAATAATTAAACATCTTAAAAGTGAAGTGACTACATTTTCGAAATCTAGAATCAATCAGGTATTGAAAAATATAGGTGAAAAGCGAGAAATTTTGAGTGAAGGGCAACCACCATCCCTAGAAGATGGCAAAGAAAAGTGTTAATTTCGACCGTTCTTAGGAAAATTGACCTCTTGACCTCAAAAGACAATCCTCCGACCCAAAAGGAAATTTCCCGTAAGGTTGGGGTGTCTAAGCCTTGAGTGAAAAGAGAAATTAAGATTTTGAGAACACGACTTCGTCGGAAACCTCGTGTGCATCAGCTGACTGAAAAACAGGAAAAAAGTCGCGCCCGTGTTTACAAAAAAATTTATTCAAATTTTCTGTTATGGAATTAGAGTGACTTTTTGGTGACATTTGACGAAGTACTAATTTCTCTACAAAATACTAATTGGGTTCGAAGAGCTCACTACACTACAAATGCTGAAAACAATTAACGCAAGTTTGTGCTTCCCTGTGAGGAGAACTTTTTTAACAAGTTTATGGTCGTGGGTGCAATGTACGGTCGTGGTGTCCTCCCACTTATCAAAGTCCCCCAAAAAGTAAAGGCATCTGCAAAGTATTATGTGGACCATATATTGCAACCACTTTTAGAATGATATTTTCCTAAATTGTACAGTAAAAAAATAAATAAGGTAATGTTTCATGCTGACGCAGCGTCTTCCAAGACGGCAAAGTAGATCCAAGATTATGCAAAGGACCTTGAAGCTAGATTTGAGATAAAAATCACTTCGAATAGTGAAATACCTATACAATACCCTGATGTAACTCAAATTGACTTCTTTGAGTTCGGATACTCGAAAATTAAAATTTTTCTGCGGAGACCGAATTTTTTAGACGGAGTTTGGAAACAGTTAAAATGACTGTCTTGACTTCTGGCGGCTGTGGGGGAGGCATTTTTGAAAGTAGAGGGTTGAATTTTTGCACACAACTATCTGAGGATAACATGCTCCTCTGTTCAAAATTTTGACCCGCTACGACAAACCGTTCCGGGGTTATTCAAGGCCAAAATCGTTATATTTTAAGCGCCTGACCCTACTGTACGTAATAAACGTAAAAACAAATTAGGTGAAAAAATTAAAATAATTTTTCAAAGGAAGCTGCGAAAAGAGAAATCTTTTCATAAGTAATTCGTACGTTTATTTTAAAATATGTAAAACCTGACATCAAAATTTTACAACGTTCAAAAATTAATTGTAATAAATTCGCAAAATTTAACAGCTTTATGTCATAAGAAAAACGATAAAAATCAAATTACTTTGCGACGAGGTTTGAACAGCAGGAAAATTGCGAATGCCAAATAGTTGCAAATATTTGTAAAATTCATGTACGTAGTTAGACATTTATGCAGTTAAACAACAATGGGTGGAATTCAATATACGTTAGGCAATGCTTAGGACTTTTATTTGTATTCAATATTTGTTGCTTAGGAAAAATTCTAAGCAAGTGCTGAGCAAAATATTTAGGATTTTCTGTATTCAATATGCACAAATTCCTAAATTTTTTGCCTAAAGTTATTCCAGCTCGGAGGTGGAATAACGACTTGCGTAACTATAATTTAGCTTAGAAAAATATTTATTTCGACCATTTTAGACGTAGTTTGGGGCGAGGATGTCAAAAATCGACATAGTTTTGACGTGCCATGACCTTGTGACCGTTTCGCTTCACCCCTTTGTTACATTTCGCTTGCAACGGTTTATTAAATATTCTAATTATTTGCAATTACATACAAAGTAAAACTTCAAAAACAGTTTCACATATACTGGATCTACTAAATAGTGCATCACTTTGTAAGTTTAGTAGCCAAGTGGTCAAAAATAGGTTTAGAAATTTGAAATTTTTGTAGAATATTCCAAACATATCGAACTGGATATATCTACGGACAAAGAAGACTTTAATCCATTATCCATCTCGTATTTAACTTTTTCCTTCACCTCCGTCATTAGTACTTTTCCGGCAGACTGCAAGTTCATTACTAATTTTCTTCCACCGGAACAGAAATTTTCTTAAAGTATCGTCCGTTTCTCAAAGCTGGAAGTACCTCTTCCTACACAAAGCCTAAAATCTTGTTTTGAGTCGGATAGGGGAAGTTTAGAGGGCTTTTGACAAAAATTCGTCAAAAAATGACCAAGAAATTATGAAAATGCCCATCCGAAGTCGACCATCGCATAAAACATTTTTCGGAAGGAAAATTGTCACAAACGAAAATTTTGGAGAAGCTGAAATTATCCGGATAGTGTTGCTCATTCTACAGAGTCTAGTATACTTACTTCCTTTGGAATTGGATGAAAATCTAAATTAGCAGGACTGCTATCCTCTGTAAGGTACCAGACCCCAAAAACGTAACGCGTACCGTTTTTCGAAAAATCGACGCTCTGACAAGCCAGGAAAACACCCAGGCCCAAACTCAGTGGAAAAGTTGTTAAAATAATACTGGGGAAGTATAACCTCCATCATCCCGCGCTCGTATCCTTCCCATACTATTAGCATGGTACGGATACGCACGCGGGAGCCAAATTTTGATGGAGGTTATGCTTCCCCAGGTATATGTCAGCTGCATGTGAGTTGCACCATCAACAACAAACTTCAAAAACGTCAAAAAAGGTACACTTAAAGTTTAATTAGGTTGTAAAAAATTAAGTTTGTTAAAAAGTGGTAAATGTCGGGTTGATATTTTAGCCGAGATGAAATAAGATGCAAAGAGCGGAGCATCAAAATTTTGCAAAAATTTTGTCAGTTCACACGAGGTCACAGATTTTCGTTGCCTTAGGCAACGAAAATGGCTAGGCAAAATGCCTAGCCATTGCTCAGAATTTGCGTAAGTTTAAGCATTCTTAAACTTACGCATGCCTAAGTCGACTTTATATTGAATACGAAATTTTGCTCAGCAAAAACCTTGCTGAGCATGTGCTTATCTACGCAAATGCTTATGATCGCGTATATTGAATTCCACCCAATGAGTCTCTTCCAAACAAAAATCTTTACATATTTTGCAAAAACTATTTGCTCAAAAATTTCGTTAGTAGATACTTTTTTAAACTAAAAAAATACAAATTCGACATGCACGCTTCTCGTGCTACTTTTTATACAATGAGGCAATTCACGCAGACCTTGGTAGCTTTGTAAATCTCATAAATTCTGCAAACTTACAAACTTTTACAAAATTTTACAAATTCTTCTTAGCAAAATTAGCTCATAAATTTTTGAAAACATCCTGGAGTCAAGGGTGTCTTTTTATTTTGTACAAGTTCGTGAAACTATTTTACAAAATCTACGAACTTTACGAAGAACTACGTTAATTAGTTCACCATTAAAGAATTAATTACACAATGACTAACTAAATTATGTAAATTCAAAGCTTAAATTTTATTTCTTAATTTTTTAGAGCTCTTCAGGACCTCCTGGAAAATGCGGGATTACTCTTTTTTGTCCCCTGGTTGGGAAAATCGTTTCCAAGACTGACGGGCTACGCTAAATTGAAAGAACGAGGTTTAGAATTTTTAGATTCTTTCCAAAAACCCGTTAAAGAACATTTGGAGACTTATTCGCCAGAGAATATAAGGTGAGAATACTTAAATAATCGTTTTCACAAACTTAGCCTGCAAAAAGAATGTAATTTCGTTTGAATTCAGGGCAGTTTTCGTTTTTAAAGTCATAAAATTTAAACGAGTTGTGATTGCGTCGAAAAATATGGCACTCGTAAATATTTGGAAAATTAAATTTTATAACAAAGTAAACGAAAAAATGAAAAAATTGAAAATTGGCTAAAAACTAAAGAAAAAAAATACAAATTTAGACGACATTGTTGGTTGACTTTTTTAAAATTTGTCGTGCCAATATTTCGCACGAGATTTTAAAAAACAAAAATTTGCGAATGCAAACCACCTTTTATTCTTTAACATTGATCAATTTTGAATCATATTTGATTTGGCGTAGACATTTTACAACTTGAAAAATGATCTGCGATGTCTGAAAATTTTTCACGTTTCAAAAAACTGGTAGTATCTATTCACCAAAAATACAAAAGGCGATTAGACATGGTTTGCATAAATTCACAATTAAATTACGAGCAGGGTTTTCGTCGAAGAGATTTCTAACGTTTTTCATGTGAAAGCCCATATCTCAAACTATAGGTAAACATATCTGGCTTCCGGATGCGTGTACTCTGGGTAATGAGGCAAGGTCAAATTGGGAGAGGTGTCCTTTTTTAGTTTTCCAAACAAGTGTTCTTACAAAATGGCGTTGAACAAAAGATTTTTTTCTTAGGTCCTGCTGCAAAAATCGCCTTTGCGGCTATTTTTAAGGGACTTAGCATGCTTTTGACTATATAAAACCACTTTTGTCTCATGCTAATCTTTTAAGTCCATTTTGTAGTCTAACTTCTTATTTGTCCTGATGGAATGCTGTCGTGAACGCAACTCTTTCACTTTTAAGGCCCCCACATTTTAAAACTTTGATGTTAAAAATCCCTAAAGTTGTTTTTATCCAAGCTACATATAGTATATTGCACTGTAAGTACGTTTGACAAAATTTTGATAAGTGGTTACACCCCACGGACTTAGTTTTCATCAAACCCTATAAAATTTTTGGAAAAGCTCCCGTCATTATCCGGGTCGAACTTCAGAAATAATTTAACTAACCAAAACGCAGTAATTTTAACATTTTGTCACTTGTACCTTGTAGGCAAATTAGTTCTGCAGTAAGGGACACAAAAAAGTTATTAACATTTATTTTCAACAAAATTTGACCATTAATTTTCCAAATTAGTTCAAGAGTTTTTTAAGATTCGGCGTCAGCTGATTAGCTCGGGTCCTTCTCCAAAACTGTTTACCCAAAATCCTGACTGTGTGGTTTAGTATTACCTAGCACACTTCCAGCTTTACCCTCAATCGTCATTTGACCCAGTGGGTCCGCTTTCAAGGTCAGCAGGTCAATTTTCCCGTGCAAGCTCGGATTGATCGCATTTTGGGGCAAAATATCAGCGATATTGGAGGGCCCACATTATTTAATTCATTACGGATTCTTTCATTATTAGATACAATAATTATCTGGGGTTATAATAAAAACAATTTTTCATCTCTGACCTCTTTGGTAATCATGCCACATGAATAATTAAGTTTGGAAAGTGTGTTTTTGGCATCTTCCAACTCTGGGGGCACTGGAGGGGGCATTTGTGAAGCTATCGCCTTAAAATTTTAGAGATATCTTTTTGAGAGTATTATCTTGCTTGTCTATAAAAATCAGCTCGAAATTAGAATTTGCACCTGAGATATTCAAGCGCGAAGTCGTGAAAACCATGTCTGATCGCCTTTTGTAGAGTCTGTTGTGAATCCGTGACAGATAGTAAAACCGAGGCGAAAAGTAACTTTATTTTGGCAATAATATCGTAATAATAGGATAATGAAAATTTTCCAGAAATATGAGTAATAAAATCTACATAAAAATTCAACCGCATCCACATTTCTAAGAAGAAAACTACTTAAATGCTATTTTTAAAATTTTCAGGGATTTTATCGACGCTTACATAAAAGAAATGAAAACCGTCACTGATCCAGATTCTCCATTTTATGGAAAACGTGGTGGTAAGGGGATCAACAAATTGATGTATGACTCATCGCCAAAATTAGTGAAAGTCGACACATTTTTAATTCAAAATTCATATATTCAAAATTTTGTACGGTAAATTTGTCAATTGAAAAAATATACACCCCAGATAGTTTTATAAGAAGATCTCAAGTTTAAGAAACCTTCAGAAAAATTGGAGCTCAATTAAATAAATTTCCAGGGGTCTATAGAAATGCTGAAAAACGGTCGATTTTGCCGATGACTCATCAATTAAATTTTTACAAAATTCAAAAAATAGCTTGTTTTATTTAATTTTTGCCTTTAGAAAAAAATTTGGAAGCAATTTTTGGAGATTTCTACATCGGTGGGACGGACACAACTACTTCCATGATTGTATGGATGGTTTTTATCCTCTCCAAATTTTCCGAGTATCAAGAACAGTTTCAAAATGAGATAAAATCTGTTACCGGGAATAACAGGGCGTGCCAGCTAAGCGACAAATCGAGGTAAGCATTTCTTTGAGGTTGCATTGGGTGATGATTTGAGGTGGCATATATTTTAAATCTCACTCTGCCCCTATTCAATGTATTTCAATGCGGATTGATAACATTACATACAATTTATATGGGATAAATGCAACTTATCTTAATTTTTCTGGCACTACGAAAATCTTGAGCTAAAAAAATTAACTATTTATTGCGATTTTTTGCAATAAATCTCCTCGAAAATCAATTCATCAGGCTTACGACTGATCTTCGTAATTAATTTAACGAACTGAATTTTGAACTGATTTGAATTACGGCGTGCAACAACAACTAAATTCGGGAATTACTACGTTGGTATTACAAAACTATTGATTTAAAAAAATTCTACTTCATTTACCATTTTTTCACTATAAATTTCCTCAGAAATCAATTTGGTAATTTTCATTTTTAAATCGATAATTTCTGTAGTACCAGAAATTAACTTTGCATTAAAGTATGAATAGTCATATTTATCTCAAAATTCTTGAAATTGATGGCATTTTAGAAATTTACGTTTAATGTCATTGAATAGAAGTACCGTGAGATTAAGTATCTGATTTGTTCGACCTTAAATAAATCGGTTTAACCTGAGAAAGGGGATCATAATTTTTCTAGATTGCTTTAAGAGTTGGGATTTGTGAATTTTTGTTTTTACAAAAAATCCAAGATTTTTTTAAGAACCTGAATTTCTCAATTTTTTCGGAAACTTGTTTAAGAAACCGAAGTATCAGTTCGAAAGTTTCGATTCTACATTAAAAAACTTGGATGATAATTTTGTTTTAAAATCGGAATTTTATTTATAATTTAAATTTCATTTTTGCAAACAAGCATGAATTTTACACGATAATTTTGTTTATGAAAACTGAATTTTATTTATGACCCCATTTCTTAAGAAACCGGGACTTTATTCTGACAAGTAAAATAGTCCAAATTTAGTGCAAACAGCTAGGATTTTGCGTTTTAAAATCTGTAAAGCATACTAAAATTCAAATCTCCCTAAAAATATGGTAGTTCACGATAAAATTTATGACTAACTTTTCAGCATGCCATTCACCGAAGCCCTAACCGCAGAAACGTTCCGATTCGCCACCGTTTCTCCGTTCGGACTGCAACATCGAACCACCAGCGATCAAGAACTAAACGGTTTTTTAATTCGAAAAGACACCTTGATATTTCCCAACTACTATTTTATGCATCACGACCCCGCCATTTGGGGAGATCCCGAGACCTTTCGACCCTCCCGCTTCCTGGACAAGGAGAGAAAAACCTTTGTCAAAAATCCCGCCTTAATCGCATTCGGAACCGGACGAAGAGTTTGTATTGGCGAGTCGTTCGCGCGGGATAGCATTTTCCTCTTCGTGACAAACTTATTTCAAAGATTTAGTATCGCCATTGACAAAAATGGACCGGATAATGGATTCGCGACGGAAACTGGGTTTGCCCTGGTGCCAAAACCGTTCCATATTTTGTTAAAGGATCGTCTCGAATAGGGGGATAATTTATGACAGTTTTATTAACATTAACAATTAATGTCTCAGCGCATGCTCTCAGATTTTGATGAAACTAGTGTCAATCGATCACAAATTTAATTACTATGAAATTTGCAAAAGGCACGATCTCCCAATGTGCACGTTTGGCCGAGATATTTGCATCCGAAGAGGAGAAAACGAGCTGTAAATTTGGAAAATGTAAAAATTTTTCGAATTTATGTCGTATAGGGAGAAAATTTATGGTGGTGTTGTCAACTTACAGTGGAGCTATTCCAACGAATGTGCTCCGATTTTGGGGAAACTATTGTCAATCGATGACATATATAATTAGTACAGAATTTGCAAAAAAATCTGCCAATGTGTTGGTTTGACGGAGATATTTTGTATCCGAAGAGGAGAAAGTGCGTAGTTAATTTCGAAAGTGTAGAATTTGTAAAGCTTTCTCTACTTTGGATGCAGACATCTCTGCCAAGCCAAACGTGCCTATTGGGAGATCGTGTCTTGAAAATTCCGTATTAAATTCCGTATTTAATTAAATTTGTGATCGATTGACACTAATTTAATCAAAATCTGAAATCATACACTCTATTGTAAAAATACAATTTGTAAAATTACATACTTTGCATCCCAATTTTATAAAGTTTACGAAAAGAAAGTGAGGTTGCAAATAAATTATAAATTTTAAGGATAAAACGCTCCTTTTAATATCTGTACGTCCATATTCTATGATCTAAAAATGTATTTTTGAACCGTTGCGTTAAATTTGTAAATAATTATTATCGACGTTTATGTATTCAAAAAATAAAATTAGCAGTTCGTCACTCTGCTCTTTATAACCCAAGAAACACCGTAAACTTACAAACATTTACACAATTTTGCAAAGATTACGAAGGAAATTTGTATTTTGTTGGCTAAAAACCAATGTTTACCTGATTCTAAATATCTCGCTGAATTATTTCACTGTTTATTTATATACGCTGCAATATGAAGGAGATTCAGCAGGGACTTCATTATTTACAAATGAAGGCTACCAATATATCTTAAACTTTGTCATTAAATACTAATTTTCCATAAATTAATGCGATAATTCATACAGACTTGAGTAACTTTGTAAATTTCGTGTATAGCTTTGTAAAATAATTTTACAAACTTTTATAAACCTAAAAGACGCCTAAGTAAATTTGCAGAAATTTGCAAGCTAATTTTACTTCCAAATGTATATAAAATTTTGTAAAAGTTTGAAAGTTTACAGAATTCTCGGATTTTATTACTTTATTTAATGAATTTTAATACTATTACGAAGACCTGCGTGAACTGCGTCATCCTCTGGATTATTTTGCATTTATGTAATAATTTTTTTATTAAAATCATAGGGGTCGTTCTTAAATTTAACGCTAAAAATTGGTTTTCTCGACCCTCATCCCTCCCCCTTTAACATGGCGTACATAGGCACGATATCATTGGGGCATAAAGCCCCTCCTCCCCCTTCAAGCGTTTCGTAATTTAAGAAGAGCCCCATATCTAAGCAAAATCTAAAAACAAAAACGATTAGCCACACCGGAAAACTATTTCATTCGGCGTCATCAAAATACAAATGCGAAGTTAGAGACGTTTTGGGTCTAGAAATTGGGAAAACGTATATACAACTATTTAAATCTATATTATTCGATACGATTCAATTTGATTTTTTTTGTAAGTTTGAATTCAACACAAAGGCGACTTGATTTCCTCCGGAACTTCAATTCAACTGAAAACCAAATCTTTGTATACTTTGTGCATAAAATTTAATTTCAAATTCATAACTCGGCATCAAAACTTCCCTATTTTATAAATTCACGCGGACATTTGTTATGTGGTAAAGTGAAGAATTTCTTTTTAAAAAAATCCGGTCAATTTTTAGAATCATGATCATTTAGAATCATTTAGAATCATTCAAGTCTTAGAATCATCGCACTGGTCAGAAGATTTGATCTTTCTACATTTTATAAATAAAATTATTTTGAAATTCATAACTCGGCGTTAAAACATTTCTTTACAACTTTTATTGAAGAAAATTCACGTGGACATTCGTCATTTGGTGAAACGTGTACTCGGGTAGAATCTTAAAATTAACTTTTTTTACAAACATATAATTTTAACAAATATTTTTATTTTTAAAAATTCTAGCATTTTTTTAAATTTCGATACATATGTACATATGTGACCTTATTTCCTTCTTAATTTGTGCGAATTTAAATATTTTGCTACTTCCCAAAAGTAAAGCCACATATTTTTCAGTAAGAATTGTAAAATTCTTTTGAAATTTATTGCTCCGCATGAAAACTATAAAATTTTGACTGAAGTAAATTCACGCGGAAATTTGTTACCTGGTAAAATATGTAACTCTAGTGGAATTGCTGTATTTAAAAAATGCTGTTTTTTGTAAATTTTAATACACATACGACCTTATTTTGTTTTGTGAACTACAAAATTTTCCGATTTTAATGATGAAGACCTAACCTTTTTATGTTTTCGGTATAAAATTTAATTCGAAATTCGTAACTCGGCATTAAAACTTTGCAACTTTTATTAAAGCAAACCATCAAAATTTGGTGTGGAATTATTTGTTTTTAAAATCTCCTCAATTTTTGAAGGATTTTTAACTTGTCTTCTGTCGTAATCTCTGCGTTTAAGCATTTCACGCGACCGCAATGAAAACGAAGTCGAAAATTGGGTAGATTAAAAAAAATCAAAATTTAATTGACTCGAAAACTAGAAACAAGGTCATAAATTACTTATGGTGACGAGAAGTTTATTTTGAAATACGTCAAAACTTTAAATAACGTGTCTTAATTTTTGGCGTAAGTTTACAATAAGTTTAAAACTTCCTAAATGTTTACAGATAGAAGGAAGTCAATCGTTATGCCCAAATCACGTGCAAAAGTTCACTGAAAGTTGAAATTTTTCCAAAAAAAGTCTGGCCTTTATTCATATATTTTTCTTCCTCTATGAGGTGGTGGATTAGGTTTGGGTTTTTTTATCAACCTTATGTAAGTACCTTCATTTCTCAAACTGGTTGTATTCAGCGATTTTTAACCGTTGTGGAAATATTAGCCCCGGAAGCCCTAAAAAATCCAGATACCGAGATGTTCAGTTTTCGAGCCTCAAAAGTGGTTTCAGATAACTTTTTTCAACTTTTTGTAATATATTTATTATTATTATCATAACCTTCAAATTAAAAAATAAAAACCTGTGGCCCCACATGACCCAAAAAGTTCACTACTCCTTCAAGAAAGTTTGTCAACATATGAAAGATGAGCCTTCAATCTTGAATTTGTTATAACTAAACTAATTAAATCACAAGACAATTATAGGGTTTTAAACTTCACAATTTACAATTTTTGACATAATCACAGCACAAAAATTTAAGAAATTCAAAAATTTACAGAATTTTAGTCTAAAAACCGATAATTGGTTTGGGACTTGATTAGTTTGACTAGTGATTTAAATTAGATAACGTCCCCTTCACGATTAACTGACATCGTTTCTATGGGCGGTGCCCCATACGGTTGCGACAAATGAATTATTTTGAAAAAAAAAATTCATTTTTAAATGTTTGGGCCGAAAGTCCCCTTGTCGGGCCAACGACTTTAACCTTGAATAACTTTTGAACAGGCAGACATAGGGACTTAATTCCTGAGGATGAAATTATCCTAATTTTTAGCTTGATTTTTTAAGCTAAAAATCTCGAGTGTACTATTTCGGAAAACTAAAACGTTTATTTTGGAGATATTCTTCAAAATATAAGTTTTTCAGGAATTTCACAGCCAATTCTTATCTCACAAAATTCAGTAATATACCAAATTGATCGTACGATCTAGACCGATCGATTGAAATCCCACTGGAGGGTGTGAGATCACTTGACCCGGATTTGACCTAGGGGGTCACCTCAATCTTCCAACTTAGCAACGGCCCACTCACACCATTTTTCAGTACATAATAATTAAAATTTAATTTCTTCAAAAATGAAAATTTGTGTTGGAAACAATTCATTTGTCGCAACATGTATAGAATGATAAAGTGTCAAATAATATTGCGTCCCCTTGCATGAGAAAATGTAGATAATTCTTTTATTACGAGTTTTTTAGTAGTGATGATAAATTGATAAATATGTCTAACCAAAGTTAATTAAAATATTAATTTTTCTAGCCATATATTATACATATACATAAATTGTGCAAAAAATTGCGAATTTTTGTATATTTCTAAATTGCCAAAAGTTCTTATAAGAACTCTGATTTGTACATAGATATATCTATGTACAAATCGGAGGTACAGTCGGATCAACGTTTCCAGAAATCTGATCAATGATTTCCTTCTAAATTTTCAGGAATTTAACGATTGTGCCGTTTCCGAACTAAAGAACTTTAGATCATCTTTTTACATTTTACTATGACCATATATTAAGCAATAATCTTCCTAGCCTCAAAGTTTAGGCTATGAAAACCATATAGACGAATGCCGTGTGAGCTTCTTGCGTAGTTATCTAAAAATGTTTTAACAAACTGCGAATCCAATAATTTTATACGTTTATTGGGCTGAATTTCAATTTCGGCATAACTTTATTTCTTGTCACTACTTGCGGAATCAAAATCGAATTGTTTGGCGTACACGATGAGCTTAAAAGTTACTAATGGTTAACCAGACAATGTGAGATGGTTTTATGATTTGACTGTTAATATAATTTTTTGATCAGCGAACTCTAATTACTGTTAGATCTGTGTATTTATACCTGCTTTTAATTATATGGCCAGTCATTTTATTAAGGGGATTTCAAAGATTATTATGGGGCAAAAAAAGTATTATGTTCGGGCAAATATCATTTAGAGCCAAACTCCATATTTTATCGGGGAAAATCAATATTTTTATGGGGGTTGAAAATTATATCCCGTAGATACAACTATTTAAATCCATAACAATTGTTCCATTAATTTTTAAGCGTAAACCTTACACTCTTAAGAATTTCATTACCGAAGTGTTTACCGGGCGGAGTATCTATGTGACTCTACTGCCGTGGTAACTTTTTGTTAACCGTGCGGTAACTATTTCCAAAGCTACTGCTGACCCGGGATTGAATCATTATAACGAGGTATTAAAAACAGCTTTGCTGAGTAACAACAAAATCTCCTTTGCAGTAATAATTAGTTACCATTTTGTAGTGCCATTATTACCGCTTGGTGTATTATTAATATAATTTGGTATTAATATTATTACTGCCTGGGGGGAATATTAATTGTTATTGTGGTAATTATTACACTAAATTTGGTAAATATTCGTAGAAAATTTAAATTAACATAACTTGTTAATTTTATATTACCGCTTTGGTTTTCCCGATAATACCACACTGTAAGGGAGAGAGTATTATTTTATATTTTTGGAGAAAGAAGGGTTGGGGCAAATTGAGTCGCCATGGGAATGCTCTTGGCTCGCAGCATAAAACTGCGAGCTCGAGCAAAAATCAGTCAGTTCGTCGCTGGAGCTCGTCGAGAGAGGAACTGCGAGGATCAAGCTGCTGCCGTGTTGGAGAAGAAATTCCAGCAGCAGTAATTAAGAAGGAGTGAAAGGTCAAAGGGTATGTTTTAGGGCACTGCAGAGGCATCTCTGCAGGTAATGTGCTGATAGAGGCATCTCTCCAGCACCTCAAAGTTTCTTATTTGGTCACGAGAAGTGACAATTGTATGTATTTGGTCAAGTTAGCTATTTATCTCTCCTCCCTCTAAGCCACGTTATTGAATCTCGTGTGGGAATAAATACTTGGGGAATTGATTAATTGTAAATCTGTGTTGTGTTGGCGTATTTATTGTAG